TTGAAGGGACTATTTTAGGTCTTTTGAAATATACATAAATGGGCCTAAGACAATGGCTGTTTGAGAAATGGGTTTAAGGTAAAACGAACTGGGCCCATGAACAAAAGCCCCTACTTTGAACCTCACCATCAGCCGCTCCTTCCCGCCTCGACGAGAGCGCCAAACAAACCCATGTCGACCTTGAAGGAGATGGACCTGTGGCGGCCACCATCAGGCTGATGGTGCCGGCCAGAGGGCAAGGACCTGCCCCACCTGTGGGTCCGGCGGTGGGTCAGTACAGGCTTAAACCTAATGTCCTTTTGCAAGGACTTCAACACGCGAACGCAGAAATACAAGCCAGACACGCCTGTGGCGGTGACAATCACGGCATTCAAGGATGACACCTTCAAATACACCGTCAAATCTCCCTCCCTGACTTGGTGATTTGAACCTTTTTAGTCGTCTTGGGTTAAATCAAAAATAAAACCAAATTATGCAGTAAAGCATAACTCGGGTCGAGTCTCTTGAGGAGCTTTTTATTAATCCCTTAGTTAACTAAGTGACAAAGAATTGAAAGGATGGGTTGAAAAAGGATTTTTCAATTAATAAAACTAATTAAGAGAGTAAGAAATAAATCTAAACTACTTTTTTTTGGTATTTTTAAGAAAGAATGAAAAATGCAAATTTGAATTGTAAGAAATCAATAACAAGAATGCTCTTGAGGAATGAATCAATGACTATCCTAGCTTGTTTAATGATATGGGAGTAACTCAAGTGGTTAAGACTGGTTTATATAAGTTATTCCTTTTAAATTAATACTCAACTAGAACATTAATTACTTGTTAAATTCACTTCAAGTATAATTTCTATACAACTCGCATAAAAATCACACTAACAATGACTTAACAAAGGCATAAACATAAATATATGTATAAACCAAGTACTCAAACTTATAAATACCAATCCAAATCTCAGCAATTCCAATCCAAACCAAGAATTACAACTAGCAACTCTTAGCTTTAAACCAAATATGACAAACTTCAAACCAGAAATTATCAACAAAATAGTCTAAACTAAGGACTAGAATTAAACTCTCCTTTGTAGCTCCCAAACTCAAGTCATTGAATTCAATCCCGAAGAGCACAGCGAACTCAGCCTCTCATAGCCTTGAACCAAGCTACAACTCGTGCCAAATATTCAGTAGCCATAGAGGATAGATGGAGGAGAAGAAAGATGAATTTGGAAGATTGAAATTGAAGTGTTGCGGTGGTGGTGTATGCGTCGTGTGTATATGGATATGAAAAGGTTATGAAAGTGGCGTATGAGAGTTGTGTGAGTGCCAGGTGTGAAGGACGTGAAGGGGTGTGAGTGAGGGGTCCCTTGATTGTGCGTTGCGGTGGTATATATATATGAAAGGAATGGGGGGAGGTGGCGGCGTGGTCTTGCGTGTAGGAGGGGAGATATATCCGAATCAAATATGAAGGAGCAAGGATGATTGGGCGGCCTCTTTTTGAATCCATAATAATATCATAATCTGATGCTTTGATATCCAAGTTGTTTGCGTCTCCAATTTCCTTTTTTTTCTTCTTCTTCCTTTCAGCTTTCTATGATATTTATTTCCTTATTTTTAAGGCCTGCAAAAGATAATTGAGATACTATCATAAAACCCAAAATCAATTATTTAAAAAGAGATAAAAATATGATAAGATCTCTTATTAAATCTCTAATTTCATGCAATCAATATTGATTCAGAATACTCACAATTAATACAATTTATCTCACTTTAATTGATAAATATCTTCAAAAAGGATATCAAATAATATGTTAAAATCAGGATTTATCAGTATCTCAAGAAAGCAGAAATCCGGCAGCAACCGCCCCGGCCACGTGGTGGCTTCTACGCTCTCTCCGAAGCACATCTACGAGGTCGCCAAGATTAAAGAGTCCGATCCTTATTGCCAATACATGTATCTTGAATCTATTTCCATGTCCATAATTGGCTCCCCTGACACAATGGGGATTAAGATTTTAAGGAACTAGAATGATTCCTCGACCGCCGCTTTCCCTTTACCCCTCTGTTTGAAGCATTCCCTCTCTTGCTACAGTATGATGGTATAGTATTTGTGTTATGATAGCAGTGATTGTGCCCCTCCTTTAATGGAACTTGAGAGAAATGATAACGGAATTTCACACTGGAAATTAGTTCAAGCTATGGTTTTACTTGTATGCTTAGCACATGTATTAATAACAACCAAATGAAATGACGTTCTTTTAATGCTGACGGTTGAATGTTTGATTTATTTTGCTCCACAAGTTCTTTTAGCGATACTTGTTTAGTTATATAAATGTTAGGTTTATAACTACTCTTAATCGGTTCATCTCATGTTTCATTTTATACAATATTGATGGCTTTCCTTCTAGATCAGTCGGTTCCTTTTGATAACTTTGTTATAGCTATTAAATGTAAAAAAAGCGTCAATATCGATCGAAATCCTAAGTCTCGTAGTGTTATTTTTTGGATGCATAACTAATTGCATTCTAGCTGGCATGTGCTATCTATATGGTATCGGTTTAGCTTAGCTTATCGGAAATTTTAGGCTAATTTTGGTTTATGGAATTTAGGCAGAAAATGCGAAACATTTTCTTCCAAAGAGAAAAAAGACATGTAAGAAACAAACTTTGAATCCTTCTTTAAGATCTGGACCTTTTGATTATAGCCACTAGTCATCTTCTATTATTAGTTAACCAAGTTGGTTCGAGATTTAATTTAGTAGCTATGTCTCCTAGATAAAACGTCTAAAAATGTTTGCTGTAGTTTGTTCTGTGATTAGTTTTACTCTAATTGTGTTTTCTGTGGTTAAAGTGACATTTTCAGCCGTCAATCTCTCCGAACATTCACTTGCTGTACTCTGTTACATGTAACACGATGCATTTAAAATTTCACTTCGAATTTTTTAGTTCCTTGATTGGTTGCTATCACAAAATTTGAACAGAAGACTTACGTGGATGAAATGGAACAAGGTTTCGTCTTGCAGTATTTTTTCTTACATTTTGCCTGACCACGAGAGAGGGATTTTATGTTCTCCAAGGGCATTCTCCTTCTGAATCTAATTAGCTTCAAAGATGAAGTATTATGAAGCTGAGCAGAACGTATTTGCGCCTCTTGAAAAGATGAAAGGCTATGAAACCATGTCTAATGAGAAGGAGCATGTCATTTGCCCCAAGCCCCGGCGAGCCAGGATCTTGTCTCAGATATTTGTTAGATATCATTTGAGTCAACAAGTTGAAGCATATGATTCAAAAGATAAAGTAGATGTTCGAGACATAATCTTCGAGGAGAGTTATGGAGAAGAACAGACAAATCAAGTAGCCTTATCATCTCATTTAGTTGGCTCACCTCCAGTTCGATCTGGTAACCCTTTGATCCGAGATTCCCAGTTTGTATATGAAAGGAACGCTTCTGCATTTTTATCGTCTTCATCTTCATCATCATCCGATTTTTTGTCTCCACGCAAAGGAGGATGTGTTAGAATGGAGCCTGGACTTAACCCAGCTGCAGTTAGAGTAGAAGGATTTGATTGTCACATTCCTGCTGTTTCTTGATTTCATTACACGGCTAGTATATAGAAAGTAACTAGCCACTGCTTATTGAACCAGGGCTCAATTATAAAACACTATGTTGGTGATGTATATATTATTATACTATGTTGATATGCTTCTGTAATGAATGACCTTTTGTTCTTGTACATCAACTGTTATCTCTGAGAATTTTGTGTCACTGCATTTGATGCTTTGATCGTTCTTCCAGGACCTTTAAACTGTAAAATACAAATCATGGAAAATTTCCATGCGCAGTATAAATGATTGAAAACTTGAAACTTGTCTGTTTTACGCTCTACTTACATCCACATGTCCCGAGATTATTCAGTAGTTTTCTTATGGAAATTTGTCCGCCACTAGAAAGGCAAATTGTATTCATAAAATTTACGATGCCAACTATCTCTTCCTCACTCAGGTTTTGCTGTTTCAGACTCAAACAGTGGCGCTATTGATTTCTCAGCACATTTGAAATTACTTGTATACACATGTTATATAGATCGAAACAAAACTTTTTTTACATATTTATTTTATATTTTATAAGATAGGCCTTTGAAGAAAGCTGTCTTAGAGAAACTTATCTTCCCTATTTTAATCACTTTTTTTTTTTTTTAATTTGTTGAACAATTATGATGTTTCCGTCATTTTCTCCGTTGGGTGAGGCCGTTTAGGTTATCAGTTATAAGAAATAGGCTGATCACAGTTAGTTATAAGCAAACAACTGGAATTACCAAAATTATTTAAGCAGAAAATGATAAACAACGCCGTGTAATGGAAATTGGAAAAATATACAAGAAATGAGGAAAATTGTGAGAGGATACAAGACAAACAACCATGGCTCCAGCAGCCTTCCCGCCAACCCCATGTGACTCTCCAATTATCTACTCCATAAATTCTTAGATAATCGCCAACCTTACAAGTCAAAAAGGAGAATTTTTTATTTTTATTTTTTATGCGCAATTCATTACTTTCACACATGATTCCTTACTTTATATTCTTAAAATAATAATATTAAAAAATTCTCCGATTAATAAAACAAACAATAAGCTTTGAACTAGGCTCCTTTTATTCACTTTTCTTTTATTCATTTTTGTAAATACTTCAAATCATCAAAACTTTTAACTAAAATGATGGAATTAACTGAAATGAGGGAACTCGACGTAGAAAAATTGAGGAGCCAAACCCAACGAAGCCAATAGAATGAGTGAAACTTGGAAAACCAACAACGTACACAGGAAACATCGAGTAATGAGTAAGAGCACATAGTAACCAACCCCTTCTCCAAGAAAAGCCTTTCTTGATTCCCAAGCCCTTCCCTTTTCACAAACTCTTCTTTTGGTTGATTGCTCCTCTGTCTCTCTCCCCCTCCCTCCTTATAAATGCAGCCAAACCACCACAACGCAACATAACTACCATCAAAGTTAGATTCTCTCTTCTGACTTCTCAGTCTTCCCTCTCTGTTCCAACAAAACATCTTCCATTACCAATGGCTGGCCTTCAACAGTACAACTTCTTCCCCACCGACCTCTTGTACCCTCGCCCGCCACCGTCTGTGGCTCCCGCCGTGCTTCCCTTGCAGCCCCCGAAACAAGAAACCTGTTCTGATCTTCATCTTCAGAATCAGACCAGGAGCTTCGTCAATGTTCCACCTTCCACTTCTGCTTTGGTCGCGTCCCAGAAGGCACAATCTTCCTTTGAAGTCGATAAGAAGCTATCGCAACTCTCCACAGATCCGCTTTCTTTGCTCTTTTGGGTTGCCGAAGAGGAGGGTTCCGACACTTTGTGATTTCCCAGGGACTGACCTTTTCATGTTTCTAGGACTCTGTAAATTGTTCAGGGGACCGATCGTTTTCTTCTTTCTTCTTTTAACCCCCATTGTGTCTTTGTTACTTTTCCTGCCTTAGAATCCCCCTTCTTTCATCTTTTACTGCAGATTGAGTTTTATGTATATTTGAATGTTGAAGAGTTTACATGACATGAAAGGTCATAAATGACTGATTTTAAACCGAACTGAACCTTATGGTATTGTGCATTTCTCGTACTTTCTTCAAAGTACCCTCTTCTCTGTTTCCCCTTTTATTCTTCTCCCTTTCCAGTATAAGACGAGAAGAAATTTTATTATTTCGTGGGGTTACGGATCGTACGACGCAATAGATCTTGATGTAATGAAGTTCGTAACAAGACATAGTATACTGAAGCTTACGAGTCCCGGTTTTCTCACCTTTGTTGATGAAAGTAAGATTCTTCTAGCAAACGACGACACAAGTTCCTATCTTCATTAACGTTGAAGAAGCACAAGCAAAGACTTCAGCATTGGGCAAATAAGTACAACGAATGAGCTTTCCTTTTTGTTTTTGTGCATCAACTGTTAACTTTGAGAATTTTGTGGCACTGTATTTGATGCTTTGATTTGATCTTTCTTCGAGGACCTGGAAACTGTAAAATAAAATTTATGGAAAATTTTCAATAAATTTTTTGATGAATTTTTTTTACCGCTGGGAAGGCAAAATTATAATAAACTCAAGCTCGTAGCGAAATGAAATTTCTAATGCCAACCATCTTTTTTCTCACTCAGGTTACGCTGTTGCAGACTCAATCAATAACGCTATTTAGAAGAAAACTGCTTTAGACCAGAGTTGATCACTTGTTCAATTAGTCAACTTGCTGAACGTGGAGAAGCATGCCACCTGACCTCATTTGTCGTCTGCATTCATGATTTCTTGTTAGTTTTTACGCCATTGTTATGTTCCACTCATATTCTACGTCGGCTGAGGCGTATTTAGCGATCACTTATCAGTATAAAAGAATAGGTCAACGAGACTTGTTTATATAAGCAAACAATTGGAATCGCTAAAAGGGTTCCCATTTGGTGCTCATCAGGTGATGAGCATTGGGTGTTCATCACCTGATGAGCAATCTGGACCGTCCAGATTTAATTTGAACGGTCCAGATGTAATATTATTAAATAATTATTTTAAAATAAAAAAAATTATATTTTTAAAAAATGATAGTTATGAGATTATCTTTATATTTTATCTTATACCTATTAAAATAATTATTTTTAAAAAATAAAAATAAAAATAAAAATAAATCTAGACTGTCCAGATAGGTGATGAGCATTGGGTGCTCATCACCTGATGAGCACCCAATGCAAATCCAAAAGTTACGTGGGGAGGCAAACAACCATGGTCCCAGCAGCCTCCTCCGCCTACCCCATGTGACTCTCCAATTCTCTATGCCACCAATTCATGGATAGTCACCAACCTATCAAGTCAAAAGGAGTTCCCCCCCCCCCCCCCAAAAAAACAAGGAAAGAATGATCTTTCAAAGATCTGCGCATCAGTTTAAAACCTCCGTGGCAATAATGAATAAACAAGATTTCCATTCCCATGACTTTCTTTTGTGTAGAGCAGGGAATTTAGGCAGAACACAGAAGTGCAGAACTCATAAAGTCAGCTCGCTTAAAAATACCGGGGGGGGGGGGGAGATAAAAAGAGGCAGAGAGCTTACTAGCCGGGGCTCAGAAGCCCTGGAATACGAAGAATGAGTTATTATATATAACTAGGGATTTTTTTTCTTTCTTTCTTGTCAATTACGGACGAGTGTTTGGACTAGAATTCGTTCTTCAGGCGGATAATACATACTGTTGAGTGAAATTAATTTACATTAACTGAATTCGAATTGATTCAAGTGAAGAATATATAATGGAGTTGGGATACACATGACTTTGTTCTTGTTTTGGTGTGCACTAGAGACATCTCATAATAGATAATAGAAAACTAATCTGGCAATGATCCTGTTCCTCGAAGTAGGTAGACCTTTTTCAGTGATTATCTCCCAGCGTTGGACATTGCTGATGCACTCTAAACCTTAATTCGTCTTTCCTTAGTGAGAATAATTTACTTTAAATTGTGAGATTTTTGTTATCAATTTTTCTAAATATCGCACGACATTTATTTTAAAAAAAATTACATCCTCAGTTGTATGATCGTATGATTTTGGAACTGCAGCCGTTGCATCTGCCGCTTATCATGTTTCTACTAAAAAATAAATAAATAATTGAAATTTAAACCATAGCTTTTTTTTTCCCCCTCATAATTCATACATTTATTACCTTTTATGCTTAACTGTTTAAGAAATTATGATTTAATGGAGTTACGGAGGTGTTAGTATCGTTGGTACATAATTATAGTATATATAATGATTTGAATAAGCTTTATTTTGGTCTCTTTTATCACTTTTTATTTAACAATCCAGGTTTTACAACAGTCCGTTTCCTTTTATTGATCAGTAAATACTTAAACCATGGTAACTAATTAACCATTACTCAACACTTTAACTGAAATCTTGGATCTCAACATATAAAATTTGGGGATCCAATTCCAGCCCCAACGAGAAGCCAATAGAATCGGTGAAAATTAGAAAACCAACCAACGTACACCGGAAACATCGAGTAAAAGCCTCCCCTGATTCTCAAGCACGTGACTCCTTTTTTTCGTCTGATGGCTCCTCTGTCTCTCTCCCCCTATAAATGACAAACACCTCAAATGCAACGTAACTGCCACCCATCTGCCCACAAAGTTAGATCTTCTCTTCTGACTTCCCAGTCTTCCTCTCTCTGTTTCAACGGAGCCTCCTCCATTAATGGCTGGCCTTCAACAGTACAACTTCTTCCCCACCGACCTCTTGTACCCTCGCCGTCCGCCTTCCGTCGCTCCCGCCGTGATTCCCTTGCAGCCCCCACAACAAGAAACTAGTTCTGATCTTCATCTTCAGAATCAGCCCACAAGCTTCGTCAATGTTCCACCTTCCGCTTCTTCTGCTTTGGTCAGCTCCCACAAGGCACAATCTCCGTTTCATGCCGATAAAAAGCGATCCAAACTCTCCACAGACCCGCTTTCTTTTCTCTTTAGGGCTGCCGAGGAGGAGGCTTCCGACGCTTCTTAATGATTTTCCAAAGGATTGATCTTTTCATGTTTCCAGGACTCTGTAAATTAGTCAAGTGACTAAGCCCGTTCTTCTTCCTTTTCCCCTTCGCGTTTTTGTTGCCTTTAGAATCCTCCTTCTTTTCATGCAGATTGAGTTTTATGTATATTTCAGTGTTGAAGAGTTTACATGACATGAAAGGTCAAATATGATTGATCATTGATTTCATTCCGAACTGAACCTTATGCTGTTGTGCCTTTCTCGTGCTTTCTTCAATATTTCCTCTCCTCTGTTTCCTCTGTTATCATTCTCCCTCCCCATTAACGAGACAAGAAATTTTTATTATATTCCATGGCTAAGGATCGTACGACGCGATGTAATGATCAGAACAAAATATGGTATACTGAAGCTCACGGGTCCTGTCTTCACACCTTTATTGATGAAGCACAGATCTTTCTAGCAAACTTTAGTCCATTACACGAGTTCCTATGTTCATTAATGTCGAACCAAGATAACTTTGTCGGTTGATCATGTAATTGGATTACAAGAGTTTCAGTACCAATTCACAGTGCTCAAGGAAATATATATGGTACTACTTGAAAGGCTCAAGTGAAAACGGTGAAGCGGTGGGCGAACACGCAGGCGTTCAATGAAGAAACCTCTATGGCAAAATCAGTTTGATCAATTTGCCTATATATGTATTGAAGCAAGTTTAAGAATCGAATAGAAGCACGGCCAAAGAGTGGGGAAAACGAGTATTGGGATTGGGAACATACCATCCGAGACAGGGAATCGAAGATTCCAGGGATACGCCTTTGTTTCTTTAACTTTTTTCCCCAAGTTTGTCCTGATTTCTCAGGAACTTGAAGGACTTGAATAATTCCAATTATCTGTTCAAGAAACAGAGCTTACTCGGTGGAATGGCGCATGCTTCACAAGCGTCAAATTAGAAGGTTCTTTTGTTGTTTTATTGACCGAATTGTTGTTCTATGGGTTTGAATTTAGCAAAAGTTTGTCATTCATAACAGAGTAAATAATCGAATCAGATACAAATAACTTTTCTTTTTCTTTGTTTTTTTCCAAACAGAGGAAGCTTTGACTTTCTAGAAAATTTTCTTCGGTCAATTTATTTATTTTGCCTGATTTCTGACTTCGGGTCCTAATAGAAATGATGACCCGTGGCCGTGCTTCTATTGATTAATGATGGATCCTTCCTGGCTGACACATAATAGAGCAGCGTAGGAAGGGAATATATATATATATATATATATATATATATGAAAATAAAATAAAATAAAATCTCCATTGATTAGGTGATTAACCCTTGCGCGTTGATGGCATCACAATGCGACCAACCAAAACTAACTCCAAAATATATATATATATATATATATATGCATATCGTGCGAACCTACCTTTCCAACGAAACGTGATTTTGGTAGGCGTGTCTAGTTGATACACTACGCATTCAAAACAGCATGTTAAATTATGTTCTATATGGTTGTGAATTATGTTTCGTGAAAGATAAGATATGAATGACAGTGGGTTCGGAATACGAGAAAGAAAATAAGATGACATAAAAGTCTTGACCATTATTAGTGCGGTGCATTCTAAAGCTAAAATGGTTACTTTGCTTCCTTCGTGGATTCATGAATGTGGTGGGAGAACTGAAGTCCATCTTCAAGCTACTTTCTCACATGTGAATTGGACCTTGGACGTTTTAATTAGTCTATATATGCTGTGTGCTCAGACACACACACAGACCAATTTCTTGTTAGGAACAGAGAAGGCATGATAAAAGTACCTTGCCCACCAGGAAATCAACCCAAAGAATGTAAACGAAAATTGTGAGTGAAGGGCAGAGTACAAGGTATAGAGATTAAAACTAGAAGCACAAAAATGGATAGCCAGGAGTACTCTTACCTTTTCTCTTCAGAAACATTGTTTTCTCCATCAGGTGAAAGGACGTCATTTACGTAGGCTGCTAACATTACTTATTGTGTGTATGCACTCATATGAGCGAGTTGCAACAAGACTGGCCTTGTGGGGCTTCCTTGTGCCGTGTTTGTTCTTTTATGAATTGGACTGCAAATTCTATGCCAATTTTATTTCATTTTTTATTTAAGAACATCACACAACAGAATTGACACTTTTTACTGTCGATGCAAAAACTAGAGGAAGACAAATAAAATAATCATATAAACTATCAAGGGTCAATTCCCTTTTGGACAGCACAGCGTACACGTTGCAAGAGTAGATGGTAACAAAGCACTGAAACTTGAGAGCGACGGTTGAAAGAAGAGGGCTTGATGTTCAGGGGCACTTGGGTCCTCCTCTTTTGGTCTTCCAGTTATTATAGCAAGGGCAGACCTGCTTGTTGCCATAAGTACCGGGAGGCACGCACAAGCATTTTGCACAGCACTTTTGACAGAAGAACATGCATGGCTTCTTGTATTGCGTCTTTGAGCATCTCTCTGTGCAACGTGGTCCACATTCTGCATATTCATCCACCCAACTAATTAATTCCCTCTCAATTTCAATATGAAACCCTCTCTCTCACTTTTTGAGAAGTAATTCTAATTTTTTGACAAAATATGTGATGTCTGATTCTCTAATACTCACCCTGTGGCTGCAGACTGCCTTCAGTTATGCCGTGCTGAAACTCATAAGAAACAAATATCAGATGAGCTTAGACATTGAACAGATGATGTGTGTAAGAAGTTCGGAAAATCAAAGCAATGCAGAAACAATCTGAGCCGAAAAATCTCACCTTGGGAAAATTGGTTGTGCTATTGTTGGGCTGAGGTGCTGGAGCCTCAGTGGCAGCGACAACAATCTCAGCCTAAATCCACCATTTTGGTATGCCACATGAGCATAATTATCAGTCATGAAAAGTAGATATATAATTAAAAGTAAACACAAAGTAACAAGGAGCCAACGTTAAGGGAAACGGAGACGGCTGGACAAATGCAGAACTATGGCTAAAATTTGTTTGGCAGAACTGATCGTTTCATCATAATTTGTAGTAAATAAATTATTAACAGGCCAACTGTGAATTGAAAACAGAGCAATGCAGAACAACTAGAGGCTCAAATAATGGAGAGCCTGAAGTTACCAAGACATAGAGGCAGCTATAAAAGTCGAGTATGCTTACATGGTTCTCCACGAAAAGGAGCGACATTGCAACGAGGAAGAGCATAACGATGCTTAGTTTTCTGGCCATTGCTCACGGTGTCGCTCGCACACAGAAACAGAGGAAATTATTATTAGCTCGAGTGTGGTCTTCAAGAGCTTGCGGTTATACGTAGTAATGCTAGCATTTATAGGAAGTGGGATAATATTTCTGGCATTATCTTTTTTAGGGGTATGCAAGGTGGCACTGTATAGCCTATAGTTTCAGATAACAAAAATCCGGCCTTTGTCTTTTCCAATAATGCAGTCACATTCTGCACATAATTTTCTTCTTCCCCTATTGAAATGACCAATCCGACCCTCGTTGGATATTACTACAAAGTCTGCCATGTGTAGGAGTAGGAGTGACGATTTTGGTTTCCTGATTCAAAACAATATGCTTACATTAACTGGGAAAATGAGTTTCTGCAGGAGCTGAAGCGTTAGGAAGCGAAAACTAAGGAAAATTAGAAGCGAAGTGGAAAGTTTAAGGTGAAGGCATTGGTTGATGAGGAGGTCAAGATGGTCCTAAGAAACATGGAAGGCTAAAATTAAGGGAAAGATGTTGGGATTGGGGGGCATGTGAAGTGAAGTGAAGTGAAGGAGTAGAGTAGCATGAAAAGGAGAGGTGAACTCATCACATGGGGATTCACATGAGTGAACAGGGCAAAGAGGGCGATAGAAGAAGGAACAAACACCGCACACACTCTTTTCAGCCTCTCTCTCTCTCTCTCTCCCCCCTGTCCTTGTACACAACCCAGGCTCTCATCTGTTGAGTCAATAGCATTCTCGTGAACTGATTCCAGAGTCACTGTTCTTAACTTCCAAGTTCCAACAATGTCATACATATATGTGTGTGTGTGTTTTTTTTTTAAACTTCCATCAATGTCATATACATGTGTGTGTGTGTTTTTTTTTAACCTCCATCAATGTGTGTATGTGTCTTTTATTTAATTATTTATTTATTTTTGGACAAGGACATGAAATTTGGACAGGAGTGAGTCGTCGCTAGCAACATGTGAGGGAGGGAGGGAGGGAGGTTAGGCAATCAGTTTGTTCTGTTGGTTCTCTCGTGAGTTAGTATTTGTCCGTATTGGGCACGTTGGATGTTAGCGCTTCCTTTACTCTGCATGGCCATGTGTGGGTAAATGGTGTAATGTTATTATATATGTATATATACTACCGGTTCTGATTATAGGACCTCGATACAAATGAGATTTTATAAATAGGACAAAAAATAGTATATTGTAAATCTTTTTTATTTTTTATACATTCATGATTTGAATTCTCAAGTACTTGGCGTGGTAAACCATTCAATCCATTTGAATAATTTACTTTATATTTAATATGAATGTAAATTATTTTCAGTGTATTTGAATCATTTGAACTCACTTAACAATACTACCTCCAGTATTAGGACCGGAGATAGTATAACCTTTTTCAAATTAATAATTATTTTTTTAATTCAAAGTAAAAATATCTCATCATTAAATTTTTGAAGTTCAACAAATACATACGGATTACTTATGTGAAGATTAGTATTATCATTTATGAGAAACATTGCTTCAAACGATCTGGCATTAATGTATCTTTAGTTAGAAAAGTATAGTCACGAACAATCTGAAAAAGTATGTACTTATATTATATATAGGGTAGAAATAGAAGGTTTTTTTAATCCTATTCATAAATCATATCATTAAATTTTTAACATAAATATATTATTTTATCTTTTATTCATTACAATGTATATTGTTATTTTTCTTGATCTATAGAAAAAATGTCCTATTTACGACCGAAGTATCACACCCTCTTAAAAAAAAAAAAGGGGGTATTAGACCCGTACGAGAAATAACCCTTCCTGTAAAGTGTCAGAAAGCACGGCGCGAATCACGCATACAGTGATATAGTATTATTTTATTAGTCAGTGTTTTTTTTTGGGGGGGGGGGAGAAAGAAAGAAAAGAAAAGATCCCATACAATCTTAGGGTTACGACAAAAAATGGGATCTCCCATCTTGACATCACGGAATGGAGTTTATGGATGCGAAAATTTGCCGGTTTAAGTAAGAAATTCCCCCCCATAATAAAATCAATCAATTATAAAAACTTGAAAAAAGAACCTCACATCATATGTTCAAGCAAAAGAATTTATTGTTGGAGGATCGAATCAAGCCCAACCTTCAGCTATTGATGCAGCCAACTTGTCGCTACCTACTACAGAAATCCCCTCTGTATCACTCAACAGAAGGAAAAATCCCATCAAGATAGATTGAATTGACAACCTAAATTTCAACTAAAGGCGCAAGGAAATCAATAGTTCAAGGGCACAAAGTAGAGTAGTAGGAAAGGAAAATTCATTCCATTTTAGCCTGAAAAGCAAATTCATTTTCTTAGTAACAGGAAAAGTAAACAATTGCTGAATAGTGAACACATATACCACCGCTGCACGCCTGAGCGTTGAAATGCCTCCCTGGTCCAATCAGGGAGGAACCAATTTAAAGAATGCTCAATAATCCTTCATGAGAAGCCGCAGGGAATATCACTCTTAATATGAAGAAAACAAGTTTTGGTTAAGTGGAACCAGACGTCGAGATGAGACCATTATACTCTGAAGCATGCAATAAGTGAATCATGACAAAGGCGCCAATACTCTTTGTAGGGCAGGGACATCCAAGGCATTGGTGAAGGAAGAAGAGTTCCCCGTCTGTATGGTACTCTGCCAAGGATGGAATTCAAAATAAAGGATTCATGTGAATAGTAAAGAGTAACTAAATGCAAAGAACTCAACAAAATAACATCTCACCTTCGACCAATGAGGATTCCATGTGCTATTAAGGAAATGGATGACGCAGAAGACCCCGAAAAAATATTTTTGTAGTGAGGACAGATAACTTTTCCTGAACAAGCATCCCGTTAGAGTGCATATACACAATGTTTGCCCAAAAAGAAAAGAACAGACAAAATGCTAACTGTTAGCAAATTAAGGTCATTATCATAACCGTGAAAAGGACTAAAAAAATCATACTACAAATTGTATTTCAGTCAGCGCTTTCAAATTTCGTGTTCATGCAATGTTTAGAAAATGCATATCTAGACATATTCAGTAAGGTTCACCTTGTCACGCAAAAAGGCAGGGACCCACTTTTAATTAGAAAATTACCACAACTACACGCAATGATTAAGCAAATCATGGTTACCAGTTTTGCCTCCAAAAACAATGTCGCATATATTACGCAATAATAATATCTTTCCAGGGTCTCTACGTAAAAGGCCCCAGTCAACTGAAAGCAAGCACAAAAAGTCTGCATATTGGGCACACATTCTCAGATGTTTGCTTTGATACTAATTAATACTGAAGGTACATCACCTAGCAGCATGAAAAAAAAAAATTAAATCCCACAGAAGAATCAATCTAAGTCCACGAGTTAAAGCTCCAAGCCTTACCTGTGCTCATGTAGTTACTTCGGAGAACTGAAACCAGAATGCTAGATTTTTGCCCACTAAAATCCTTTAGCAGCAATTCTTCCTTGGAAGAAGTCAGTTCATCAGCAAAATCAACCTTTGGAGAATTATTACCAGTACTTTGACAACCTAAAATTTCAAACCATATTCCAGAAGGGAATCTTCCTGGACGCACCAACCGAAGAAAAAACTTGATATAAGGTGTAGCATGAATTACTGATATGGTGACTTCAATTGATATACAGACGAGGTTGATCATTGTCCCCACTATACTAAAAAATATATAGAAAACAGAAGTGGTTGGTAACAGAAGTAAGAGGGGTGTAAATAGAAGGGATCCAATAATATGTTGTTTGACAGTGTAATCAAAGCTGTCCAACCTCTGACGAAGTGGGTTCCGCTTCCGGCCCCTGTGAAAAGATCAGCAACTCGATGAACAAAAAGAGGAAAAGAAAAAGGAGTATATATGCTGTGTCTGAATGTGTAATCATATGCATGCAATTGTATATACTATTCTTACAAGAAAGTTAATCACACATAGAGCGTAATGAAGTAATTTGATGACCTTCATAATATGAAAAGAACATGTGATTCCCCCATAATAGCACAGATTATCCTCACATATGTAAATGTTCCTTCTTCTTAACAGAACAATTGGCTCTTTCTCCCTGAACCCGATACTAGTTTTTCCGAAAACATATTATGGCTAAGATTATCAAGTAATGAGAGTAGGGTTAATAAAACCTATGCCTAAGAAGTCAGATGATGCAAAAAGAAAAAAAGAAAAAAAAAACCATCTGAGTAACATCTATTTGGGCAGTGATTGTATCTTTTGACCAAAAACTTGTCATGCAAACATTAAGAGCATCAGTGGACGGTCTAACTGTAAAAACCTATCATATGAGCAAGTTGCTTTCATAACTCAAAGATCAGTTAATTTTAAATAAATATGTGCATTTCTCATTTTAATCACTAACTTGTATTCAACCAATCCGCCAACCATCTCAATAACCCAGGAAAAAAATGGAAAAGGAATTCCTACCTAAAAAGCCGCCACAAGGCCGTCACTGCCTGTATTTGTGAAGAATATAGAAGTGAAATCAACCAATAAAGAGTTGAAACATGAGAAGTTGCTAACACAATCATGTCTATAATCAAGGCAGCAGGTAGCGTGAACCCACAAAGAATCCCTATAATAGCAAGTCCTTGAACAATATAATTTAAGACAAAACCCACAAAAATCCAGAGTGTTGACCATATCTGTATTGCATTCAGAGAAACCATGCCTAATACTCCAGCCAGCTCAGAATTCAACTTGAAACCTGCAGGGTTTCCCATTAACCAAACACACCCTGAACGCAAAAAAGGGTTTGCAATGTCATGGACAAATGTCAAAACTGACAAACAAATGGGTTCTGCATGATATAGCAGTGGCCAGCCAATCACGTTTCCCAGGAGAACATCAACAACCAAAGTTGACCACATGGAATGACTGTGCATAGCAGCTTTCTCTGCATACTCAACACATGATCGTGACCTAGCACACAAAACAATGATGTTAAAAAAAAGGACAAAACACAGAATCAATATCAAAAGATGCTGGTCAGAAGGTCAGTGATCAATTCAACAAAGAACAACTAAACACAACTTATTCATGACAGAGTGTTACATGTAATCGGTCATATGTTTTCAACTTCAATAAAAGAAAAACAATTTTAAACCGAAATTATGGAACAAGAATATGTCCTCTAAAAGCAGACTAAAAAAGAATGGAGGTAAAACAAGTTACAGTAAGCCAAAGTATATTCTAATTTAGATCCCATAGATAATATAATAGAGAGTACAAGCAAAAAGTAAATGAATTTCATAAATTTTATCAATGATTAAAGCACGCTACTGTGACGGGCCTGAGGTAATGAGCCTACTATGACTAAGGTTTATACCCGTAAAAAATGAGAAAAGGTCCATTGGTTTGAAGGAGCTGCTGCTTCATCTAAGCCTATTATTGAGCACATGTATGCTAGAGAGAAGATGGTAGTAGGGGAGAAAAGAGGAAATTGTAGTACACTAACTAATCCTGATGCCTACTTCTTGGTGTGGGTGAGGTGGACAAGAGTGTATTTTGTCGGGGCTGAAAAAGTAATATAACTATGAGGGTATAGATGAGCCTTTAAAATGCTATAGATAGTCTCCTATTACTGTTACTGTGTTTTCTAGCAGTATTGCTACCATAGCTGATGCCACGTGAGTATTTCTGCTGATCTATCTGTGTTTGGTAGAACTGCTAGTATTGTTTCCAGTCTAACACAAGTATGTATTCAGGAGGTTCCATCGTATTACCAAAATTTGAGACCTGCCAAACAAATAATACATGTCAAATATTTTATGAGAACTGCTCATTACCTAAGATCATTCTCCTTAAGAAATATCGGCCAATATAATATCTGACCACAACGAATCCGTATATTTATCCATGCAGTCCTGAATATTGCAGATGCCATGTGAATCAAAGATCCCGACTTATCATTGAAAAGTTCTTGGAATAATTGAAGGACAACGAAGAACAGAGTTGATAATGATGCTACAAAATTAGCAGACAGATTCCCAACAAATGCAAAAAACCTGAAGAATCACAACATACCATCAGAACAGGAACATAAAAGATAAGAATAAAATAAGATATAGATATCATTAGCGTCAAGTGAGTACACAAGAAATATGGAAAGCAAGCTGAAGGATCTCCTCAAGACCTCGTGTCTCTCAAAAATTCTTTTAGCAGCAGCACTACAGTTAATTGCCAAGATGACTGTGTCCTGGGATAAGGATTTGAAGAGTACAATAATTAATAGGACAAAAATATAGACACAGAAATGAACATTTTAAACTTTATTACCAAGTCAATGAGCTGCTCCTTTTTGTGAAGATCACCCACCCACTTAGGTTTCTTAATGGAAGCCTTTGCTTGCTCATGTGAATTTGATGGACACAAAGAGAAATGATGATCCCCATAACGGGGGGTGTCATAAATTATCACCTAAAATTATTAAAACATCACACGTGTTTGAGAGAATGAAATAGAATTAACAACAAATTTTGGAAAAGCAAATAGAAGAAGCAATCATGACTTACATACGTGAAAATCATATTGTAACATAGCTACTCCATTCCAGTGAATTTGATGCAATTTTGGAAGCCCGTGGATTCCAGTTTCATTCTGTTCCCGAGAATCAAATGTCAGCAGAATCCAATTAGTCTTTCCAAAGGAAGCTTGACAACTATGCTCTAATGAACCATCTAACATGAGACAGCCACAATTGGAGAACTTCCATTTGTTGTCTTCTATTCCCGCTACCAAACTACTATTACTCTGGTCAGGGACACACTGGCCAAGTATAGAAAATGTTGACTTATCCTGTAGAATTATGGGCATCTTCCCACGTACATCATGGAGGATCTCCTGATAGAAAGTAACAGTTCACACTGTTAGATGTCACCCAACATTAGACCATAATCAGCAGCCACCTATGACAACTTGTATGAAAGTGCCGTTACAGAACATTATAAAGACCATCTTTATCCTGGGGTTTTTCCAACCATTATGAACACAGAATCAAGATTCTCATCTTCCAAAAAAATAAGGGAAAAAAAAAAGTTCTGCACCACATATACACATTGTTACCCATCCTGTAGCTTCTTGTTTGATTAATGTGCGGGATAAATTCCAAATTTTATGCACACAGACCGAATAATTATGTGAGAAGAATTAAATAGCAATCTTAGGCGGGCATTACCAAGGAGGCTGTTCCCAATAATTAAAGGATAAATGAGCCAGAAAGGGTGTAAACACAGCCACTGCATCGAAACTCCCGTATCTATCTACTCAAAATGACCAAATGATCAAATTATAATCCACTTCAAGCCACCAGTATTAACAGGACAATGTCAAGCGACAACAATATGGTCATAGAGCCCTCCACTTTTTTCAATGTGCCCTAGGCAACATGAGAACTAGGCACCATAATAAACCAGGAAGACATCAGCTAAACCACCGATTCAAGATTTTTAATCAACAAAACCAGATAGATAATCTCTCACATCCCAATGATGGACCACAAAGAGAAAATGGCTACTAACCACAATGAGGCATTTAACAAATACTTAAGGTCTGTTAAATCTTCAACACAACATAAATTTCAATCATATCACAAGAAGGAAACCCAAAACTTTCTGGAAAAATAAATAATTGTAGCTGTTCATTGTATACATTGCTTATTTATTCACTTTTACTCAAAGTATGTGCAGTAAAATAAAAGCTCAAAATCCAGTGTCGTACCTCAAGGCAAGGACTGGATTGAGATGACAACACTTCGTTGCAGGTAAAGGCCACTATAATATCAAGAGACGCTGGAGAGGATGTGACAAACCACCCCAACAAAAAACTGGAAGATGGTTCTCTTCTTGATAAGAGCTGTTTTGGCCACCAAAGCCTACACTTTCTTTGCATTTTCATCTCATGATTGTCACCTTAACTAAACTGATGGTCCTGAATTCCTTGCAACGGACGCAATCAAGAACAAATTTAATCTAGAATTACTCTAAGAGACTCAAATCGAAACTGAAGAGAAGTGAGATGGGGACAAAAGAAAAGATACAATTGCCAACGAAATCAGAAGAGTAATCTCAGTAGTCAGTACAATAATCCAACAATCATGATGCAGGGTTCGGAATTAATTATAACCAATCAATATTCAACAGCAAATCAGCAACCAAATTTTAAGAGCAAACCATAGCTCAGAAGTTGAACACGAACTCGAAGAAGAAGAAGAAGAAGAGGCAGCGCGATGCGAAGCAGCAGATGGTCGAATTCGAGGAGCAGGACGGGAACCCCGCTTGAATTAGGAGTTTGATTTAGGGGGTCTAGCCACCGTTTACTGGAAGAAGAAGCAGCCAATGTAAGACGCGAGACCCCAAAGCCCCGAGATGAGAGATCCACGCAGCGAAGATGGAGGCGAGACTGAAGAACGATGGACTAGGGTGAGAGTGTAAGTGAATCAGTGGCACGACTGAAGATCGATGGAGAGCGCGCTGAATGCAAGCTGCTGTGGCGCGGGTCCAGCTAGGGCCCGACCCCCAGATTTTAAAAATTAAATTTACTGCATAAATATAATTATATTTTATTCGCTTAAAAATTATAAGTTTAAAATTAAAATTTCGCTTGAAAAATTCAAAATTTATTTCTTTATCTTATTAAAAATTGAATCCTGTGTTCTGTTCTATAAGCTGATTATGTTACGTAATCATAAAAACAAAGGCGGCATTGCTGGTCATAAATTTATTACGGCATTTGATGCATGTTGAAGAGACGCCGTAAATGTTATTATAGGGTCTATTGATAAAAGAATGGAGGTGAAAATATGGCAAATTTATTGCTGTTTTTATTTTTCGTGCAACGTGCGAAAATAAGCTACCGGCTCTTCCCTGACAGCTGAGCAGGATTTTTTTTTTCCCCACTCATGATGTACGTGGATTCCATCGGGCTGGAAGCAATTACTTACACGGGCAGAGCGTTACTATGTAGCAAGCTGATTTAATTATACTATAATTGGTATATATAATAATGTATCTGGGAAGACGTTTTTACCAGCATTTGGGAAGAAATTATTCTTGAGAAAATTAGAATCCGGCGTTATGTTCAAATTCAAAATATTACTAAGTAAACAGGACTGAATTGTAGAAAGCGGACTCGCAATAAAGTCGATCTCTTCTCTGTGACCGGCGGAGCAGAGTTCCCGGTTCCCAAATCATATTTACTCAAATCGAAATGAAATCGCATGTGTCTTCCTCGCGACAAGTTCCTGATTTCAAGTATGCTCCTTTAATGTGGCATGTTGACGAAGCATGCTTTAGTGACGTTAAAGCCTAAATCCTCATTCGTTAGCAAACCTCGGGATAGGTATCACCAGCCTTCAATTTGAGGTGGTTTCTATGTGCATTTAGCCATGTCTTGAGTGAATGCAGAGAAATGTTCAGAGATGCAGTGTGCAGTAATGTAGGATGATCCTTAAAAATTATATTCCTTCCGTCTTAAATGTAAAATTCATTTTGAGTCTCTTTCAACCCTAAATGTCAAATCCATTTTAAGTCTTGTATTTACTATCAGAAAACTACCAACATAGTTAACTCATCAAATGATCCATTTTTTAGTTGATATACCCTCGCTGCACAGATAATCAAGGATCTCGTGGCTTCTCAACTTGGGATCACTACCATGTTTGTGATGAACATAAACACTTCCCCACAAGTTTTCGTTTTCTGTGGCGTTATGAAGAAAAGGATGTTGACATGTCATCTTAGGATTGGAAGATATACATCGCAGCTACCTTTAACCAAGAACACATTGCAGTTTTGATGTATAAACAAAGCATTCATCTCTGTAGTCACTCTTCAATCAGTTTATATATCAACATAATCATATAGGATATTCAAGATCTTTCTTTCATTATCTGCACTCCTGCTCCTAGTTTTTCAACAAGACTTAATTTGTTGCTTTCTAGTTCTGCTTCTGTTATTTTCCTGTAAGACTTGATAATGTTAATGATATCTTATTGTCCTCTTCAAAAAAACGAAAAGGGCGTTTACAGGGTCCAAGGGCTGGGGAATTTAAAGAGCTTCCCAAACACGCTCTATATGGCAGCTCCCCTGTATCGTTCCCGAGAAAGCAACCAAGCTACACTTGAAATCGTTTGTTAATTGATGATCTGCATGTGCAGGCATGGCTCATTCGAGTTTTAGAGGTCTTGAAACGGAATCAAACGACAGTGCTTTTGAACAATCCTTTTCCCTCTTGTTGGACGGACACACCGTTAAATCTGGATACGTGGGAAATTGACGCATGTTTAAATGATTAATAAATTAAAAATGAAAAATAAGCGGAAAAAATACGAGAACACAGATCCCCTGTTAAATTAATCTCGATCAATTCGAGGGGGACACTGCTCTCAAATACAAACCTGCTAATCCAGATTCAGGCGAAAAAGCATGTGTCTGGATGAAGCCTGTTTGGTTTGGACTCCGCACAAGGAAAATTCGCGAGAGGCCGTGATGAAAACCCAAAAAAAAGACTGGACCACGTGTCTTATAGTCTTGAGCCCTAACTCATATCCCCCAGTCCTACGTGGCACTTGAAGGCCATGCAACACACCAACACCCTCCACGTGCCCCCACGCGGCTCACCGAGTCACTCAGCATATATAGCCTCCACCCGCACCCCCCGTTCCCCCCTCCATCACCGCCATCATCACAGCAGTCAGAAAACACCGGAAAACGACCCCGCTGATACACTTCTCATGACGACAACTCCATCCTCACCACCATGGGAAGTCCTTCTCCTCGTTGCTCACCACCTTGACGCCAAAACCCTTGCCATTGCCTCATGCGTTTCCAAATTATGGTCGATTTCAATGTCCTCGGACCATCTTTGGAAACCCATCTTCACCTCCCATTTCCCCTCTCTGTCCACCCTTCAACACGCTCAACCTACTGTTTCCTTCCACCGCCTATTCGCCATAGGCCGCACCGCCACCAAGCGCCGCCTTCAGAACCCGGCGAAGCCCAAGATTTGCCTCAACGACCTTGTCTTTGTAATTTCCGTCTCCACCAGCGACTCCCTTGTTTTTAATCTAACGATCCCCTGCGACAAGATGGTCGCCGATCCACACGGCCTGTTCCGGTTTGATCTCGAGATCGGAGAGAGCGAGTGGGTGAGGGAGGCTCTGGAAGAAGTGAAGATCACGTGGAATGTGATATTGAGAGGGTGGAAAGATGTTTTCTGCATGATGGACAGTGTGGGGAAGTTGGGATTTCAGGCGGGTAGCGAGGGGTGGTTCTCGGTGGAGCTTCCCACACCAGGATGCTGTTCGAACGTGGTGGCGAGCTCTGTGGTGGCGGATTTAAAGTTAGGGCTTCGCGGTGGGAAGGAGAGAGATGGGAGGGTGAGAATAAAGAAGGTGAGTGTGGGGATTTTGAATATAATGAATTGGAGGTATGTGAGCCTTGAAGATGGTCTCCGGTACCTGCAGCATTTTCTTCATTGTGACTCGTAAAGTTTCGCGGGAATCCTCTGGCGGTTACTGTCTTTAGGAAAAGAGTACTGCACAGATATCCACGCATTAATATGTAATGTCATGTAATTATTAATTATTTTTCAAGAAGAAATTTTAAAAATTATAGATTCAATATACTCTCGAGGGAACTCTCGAGCGCTGCCCGCTGCTCAGTCAGTGTTCAGCCCTCACAAAGCTTGAGCCGTAGCCATATGAGCCCAATCAGAAGCCTGCATGCACGTTTCTTTTTTTTTTTTTTTTTGCCTTCTTGGTTATTGGTTCGGGTAAGTGTGAACATTTTTATAATTTCTTAGGACTGCCAACTTTCTTGTAGGTTTTTGTACTTCAACGAAGAATGATGGCATCTTTATCCCCAACTGGTTTAATTGAGCCCTGTACTGATGGGCCGAGGCCCTCCTGGGCACAAAAAAAAACAAAACATAGAGTGATCAGTGATGCAACCGTTCCTAGATAGATAGCCAATCGATCATATTATTGCCATCCGGATCAGTCGCTCCATCATTACTCTTGCAGCGATCTCTTTCAGACGGTCATGATCTGATAATGCTCCGACACGACATACCAAATTCACGGTGCAAGTTTTGTCATATGATAATGATAATTAGATCAACATAAAAAAATATAACCTTCATTCTCTTTCATGCCTCGAATTTTTTTGTGTGCATATAGAACCAAAGGAAGAGGAGTCATAGAATATAAAATATAATCTTCGATATTATTTACATTGGAAAAAGTCAACTATTTAGTGGGTTAATTATTATTCGCAGTATTTACCATAACCATTCGCAGTATTTGCCTTCAAGTTTGACTGAAAGGGTATTAATTCACTTCGCCTTCAGAACCCGGCCTAATAAGGAAGTGGGAGGATCATAGCCGAAAACTTTAGGTGGCAAGTTATTAATGATTCACTGTACTCGTTGCCAGATTTTTCTGACCCAAGGTAGAAAAAAGATCAAGAAAATTTAAAACGCGTTGCCCTTGCGGGCGATCTTACCCAGAAGCCGGAGCAGGGAAGATCAAATCATCAAATCAAAATGTGCACTGAAAACGCTAGAAGGAGGGCTTGAACCTCCGACCTTGTGGTTAACAGCCACACGCTCTAACCAACTGAGCTATTCCAGCAAGATGCGGTTGTGGGGAAGCATTTATTTATCGATTAAAATCAGTCGGGGAATGGAATAACCAAGACCAACGATAAAACGGCTATCACAGTCGTTCTCCTTCAGGTTCAACATATTTTCAGTTTCGAGTGGTTTCGCACCTTTCCCAACGCGCCTGCAGATATATATTTCATGCACTCACCCTTCTCCTTCTGTGACTCCTCATGGCGGGTCTGCAGTCTTCAGCGAGGCCCACCACTTCTTCTTCCTCTGCGGTTTCGACATCACGCCTCCTCTTACTCCTAACCATCCTACCCTTGATCCTCGCTTCCTTTGCCTTCGTCCTGCAATGGAGGGGTGGTCTTGACGACCCGGTCACCCGTTGGTCTCCCGACCACCATGAGTTCCCTGGCATGGGCACTTCCGCTCCTTCCCTTCAGACACATTCGTCTAGTTCTGATTGCGTCAACGTTCTCGGTCAGAGCCATTCGCCCTCCTTCCCCTATTACCGGGACTGGAAATTCGATTATGGGTCTGATCTGAGGCCTAAGGTGAGCGTATTTGTGGATTTCGACTCATTTTGGTCGATGGAATTCGAATTATCATCTACTGTCTGTTTACTGGGGTTGACGGATCTTGTGGCTCTTTCAAATTTTCTGCGTTGTTTGCGGAAGTCGTCATTTTGCTTTATGTTTGTTGAGTTTGCTGATCCGGAATTCTGATTGAAACTGTATTCCATACGATTATTTGGTTGAAAATTGGCTGGCGTATTTGTGTTATTGGATCTGCCGCCGGGTTGTGCTTATTTGGTACGGCATTAGAGTCTGTAATTTTGCCAGAAAGTAATTGACTTATAGGTCACTGTATTCATAATTACTCGTTGAATTTGTGATGTGTTGCAGAGTACTCTGGATATTCTGAAACCTAATGGGGATTGAATCCTCAATTTGTGTTTTTGTGCATTGATTTTTGCACTTCCTAGCTGTCTATGTTGTATGATTGCTGAGTCATGTGAGTGAATTGGGGTCTCTGTCTAATCTTCTATGTGTGGCAGATATGTATTACGACAAGCACTTCTGCTGGTTTGGAGCAGACTTTGCCTTGGATCTTCTATCATAAGGTTATTGGTGTTTCAACCTTTTTCCTTTTTGTGGAGGGGAAAGCTGCGTCGCCAAATGTGTCTAGAGTTTTAGAAAGCATTCCGGTGAGTCTAAGTGATTTTGCGTTTGATATTTTGGCAGTCACCCCGTTGTTTGAATTAGTTGTCAAATTATTGCACTTTAGTGTTGATACTCAACTAATATAGTAAGGCATACCTTACTTCAGGGGGTAAAAGTCATATACAGAACAAGAGAATTAGAGGAGCAACAAGCTAAAAGGTCAGTACAATTTCGTCATGTGGTGTTTTGATACTGTGAGATTGTGGAGTATTCTGTATTCTGTTATTGTTCTTTCAAGAGGACTGTATGCTAACGTTTTTTTTTTGCTCACTGGTTCTCTTTTATTGTATTCGAGCATATGGCTAATTTGTTGATCTAGTGTTTTATCTTTATCTGTCACCTACCACTTCGTGTAATTAACCTTCTCAGTATATATTTGTCTGGAGCTTGAGATTTTTGTATTACAACTACCAAGCTTGTGCTTTGTCCACTTCTGAAGGCTAGTTCTCTGTGCTCTTAAATGTTAGTTGCTGGTGTAGACTTTAGATCTGTAAAATCCATCAATGACTCCTGGTTAATAGTTTAAGCTGTCAGCTTAAGTTTTTCCAAGTAACTTTCTAATTATATGTTGGCGATTCAAAGAGTAAAAGACGTATCAATTTTCAGAACTTTTTCATATTGTTAATGAGTGCATTAATAGGATGACTCATACCATATTTGTAATTTTACATTCTTTTTTGTATCAGCCGGATATGGAATGAATCTTGGTTGGCAAGCTTCTTCTACAAGCCTTGTAATTATGAGTTGTTTGTGAAGCAATCTTTAAACATGGAAATGGCTATTATCATGGCAAGGGTAAGGATTATGATTTCTATAACTGAAGTATTCAATCAGTATATTTTTATTACTTCAACTTATTGGTAATCATACTAAGATCTTTAGTTTTCTTCTGCAATATTTTCATATTCAGGATTATGGCATGGACTGGATCCTCCATCTTGACACTGATGAGCTGATACATCCAGCAGGAACACAAGAGTATTCTCTAAGACAGCTGTTGTCTGATGTGCCTGGGAATGTTGACATGGTTATTTTCCCAAATTATGTGAGTGCATGTACTTTATCTCGGCCCAGAAATTGCTAAAATAATGTTGATATGAGTTAGTTATATCATTCAATGGGTAATTGTTCAAATGATTTATTTGGCCCTTTCGAATTCAATGTTCTGTTTCAGGAGAGCAGTGTTGAGCGAGATGATATCAAGGAGCCTTTCAGCGAGGTAATTTCCTTATTTATTTATCAACTCTTTTTTTACCCCCGAGAAGCTGATTCAACTGATGTTGAAGAGAGTGCAAAAGTGGTGTCTTTTTTTAAACTTATTATTTGTATACCGGCTATCAGCAGTTCCATATCTTTTGTGCCACATTGCGTGGTCAAGGGCAAACACTTTCTTTCTTTGATATTTAAAAATACACTTTCTTTCTGGGAGAATAGCTGAGTCAACCTGTAGCAAGTCATGCTCTTTGAATTTAAAGCACTAATATGGTTTATGGTACTCCCAAAATTCTGGTTAGCTTCTAATATAATTTCCTCTTATTTTAGGAAAAGGATTTTTTGGTGTAAGAACTAAGTCATCGGCAAATAACTCATTTGGATGGGATTTATCAAAGTCACACTTTTCGCTTTCATAATTGGTATTTAGTTGTGTCTTCAGCTATATTTCCCACAAATTTGAAAATATGGTTGTAGCCGTTTCTTGGTGTTTTTTTAATAAAAAAGGAGAAGAATCTCTAGTGGATGAATCCCCTTGTTGCAGATCCTGATTCTTACCATATCTTGTACCTTGAGGATTTCAGTCTTCTTTTTGTTGGTCCTCTTCAATATTGTTGCAATTTTTTGGTCTTTGTAAAACCAGACTTCGTCAGTGATGGCAGGTTAAAAATAAGTATTGTTTTTAATTGATATAACTCGCTATTGGCATAGGTCTCAATGTTCAAGAAGAACTATGATCATCTTCCAAAGGATGTTTACTTTGGAAATTACAAAGAAGCAACCCGTGGTAACCCAAACTATTTCCTCACTTATGGAAATGGGAAAGCAGCTGCTAGGATTCAGGATCATCTACGTCCTAATGGTGCACACAGATGGCACAATTATATGAAGACGCCAAAGTATGCTAATTCTGCACTCATACTCTTATAATATCATGAACACAGTTGCACAATGTATGTTTGTATGACATTTATAACTCTATTAGTTGAGAGATATAATTATGCATTTTAACTAGTCAAGTTGATGATCATGCATTTGATAACACACGTGTGTTTACAATTCATAATAGTCAGGGGACATATTATTGTTCATTTTGGAGAATAATGACATGATTCACTGATCACCTGGAGGCTGACTACCAGCAATTTTTTGGGGATGCTGGTCTTACACAAATTACTTTATGCTTGTGTTGACTGTCAAGCACGGTGTGATCTATTGATCTCGTATTGACCGGTCTTACCATCCTACCAGCAAATTAATTCTTCGGGCTTTAGTTATATCCATACCATTTTTTATCTATTGTTTAATGTCCTGCTAATAATTTGGGGGAAATGTTTAAGGCTTTATAAATGGCAGGATGTATAGTTTCTGCCCTTATCTCATGCACGAGCGTATGCGAATTCTTTTACAGTGAGATCAAGTTGGATGAAGCTGCTGTTTTGCATTACACCTACCCCAAATTTTCTGATTTGACTTCAAGGCGAGATCGGTGTGGCTGCAAACCTACAAAAGAAGATGTTAAAAGATGCTTTATGTTGGAATTTGATAGAGCCGTGAGTTATCATTATCTTTCTCTTGCTCTCTTTCTAGTTCTAAATACCACCTTGATGAGTCAATTGTTATTTGTGGTGACACTCGGAGATTCTGAATATTTTGTTAAATACTTGCTGCAAGAGTTTTCTTAAATAAAAAAAAATATTTGCTAGATTAACGTATTTGTTCCAGGAGCACTCAGCTCTCCTGGAGCATATATAATCGCAGACTCTCCCCATGGCCAATGTGCCCCCGCTAATCAAAAGGAAAGGGTCACATATCCTGCCAATAACTCTTGCTACATGCTGTCTGAGTTAAACTTTATTGCAGTTAAAATGATGTAAGGAAAACATTTGCAGTACCTGTATAACTAATGGGAAATTTCTGTTCGTAATATATTTGAATTTTCTTCATGGTGCTCTTGTCTCCTAGCCAAATGCCCGAATAGCCTCCACCAATTTTTACTTCTTTGGTGGCCGGACACTTGTCTAAAAGGTGTCTGTGACGTTTTTACATCATATGTTTACTACTGTTATTTATCATGTTGGACTGTGAAATAGCTGGTGGATGAAGAGGATTGTGGATATTGTTTTTGCACGTAGTTTGTCTGTCTAATCCAATAACTCTATCATATTGTGTCTAATGCAGGCTTTTATAATTGCTTCTACTGCAACTGAGGAAGAAATGCGTCTATGGTAATTATGTTAGCGGAGTACCAATTCAAATTTTGCTTCTTTTTTTTTTTTACCTGAGAGTTCGCCTTATTTTAGCATGTAATTTAGTAGCTGGCAACTATAAATATGACAAGTAGTGTAGCAAATCCTGACTTCCTTTGATAGATGCATTTAGTCACAAGGAATTATGTTGGAATTTGGTGCCACTTGAGCATAAATATTGTGCTTTAATAAAGACAAATTCCCCGCTGAAGCAATAATGTATTTTATGAAACTTCAAAGAATAGACAAGATGTTCATATGTGCATTATTTCTGTGATATTCTTCGGCATACTCTCTCCTCAGAGTTTTGCAGTTCCTAACTTAGAATTACCTCTTTGGCTCTTCTTGTCTTTTGTTTCACTCTGTGTTTTATATTTAGCTTTAAACCCAATCTATTTTGCCTGGATTATGAGTTAATCCATTTCATTTAGGTATCGAGAACGCATTGTGTGGACTGATAGGACGCTTAACTTGAAACTTTTGAGGAAGGGCATCTTGACTCGCATTTATGCTCCCATGGTAAGCTCACTTGCTTGAAGCTTTCCTCATGGTTATCCTTGAAGCATGTCTAAATTCAAAACGGTATTTATGCTTGCAGGTTATCATTCAAAGTTTGAGGGAGTCTGGCGTCTTCAGCTCTGTAATTGCAAAAGCCTCTCAAGCAACTATAACAAAAGACAATTTCTTAAAATCTGTTGAGAGCAGCAATTCATCTAGGACAACCACATCAGGGATGATTTCTTCGAGAAAAATTGGCGCTGGTGGCGAATCCCAAGCAGCTGCAAGGAGGGTCTTGGAATTCCTAGATGACTCCCATCCCTCTGCCATACCACCATTACCTTCACCTGGCCCTGAGATAATTTGACATCATCGCGTATTAGTTTTATCATTCTGACTCCTTGCCATCACCAGAATTTACTGTAAAGACGGGTCAGAGACTAGGATTGTGGCAAGCATTGAATATGAAAATGATAGAAGCATTTCTTCTGGCTGGATGTTCCGGTTTTTTTGGATTCACGGGGTTTTTCCCGATCATTATCCAAGCGCTAGTGTAAATTTGGGGTTCAGATTATAGGCATTGTAGAGGAAACATACAGAGCAGATTTTTCTATAACACCTTCATGATTCTTTATTTTCCAACCTTCCAATTGGTCTCCTCATCGTTTCTCGCCCTCTTATTTTTCCAGTTGTATTGGCAAATACTGTCTTACAGTATTTGTTTATCATACACATTGAGAGAGAGAGAGAGGATACTGCACAGGTGCTTAAGATTTTCTAACCTGGTTGGATTGGATGAAGAGCACAATAAAAATTGTGTATTACTAATTTTCTGCTTTTTGATATTTGTGTACGTTTAAATTGGATTTGCGCTAATAAGAATTTGCATGCATTTGCTCTTTACTTAAAACGTTAAATAGATTAGAAGGGTCCCCTTGTATTTCTGCAGGAGTGACATCTATCCCTTGCAGCCACTGGTACCTCTGGGCTCTGATCCTCTTTGGAGTTTGCTGAGTCTTCTGCTTTCCCTGGTCATCTTCCTGTGCTTTTGCTTCCCCTTTGCTCTCATCGTCATTCTTTCACGCATTCTGCTTCCTTCCTGTTAAGGGAATCTCAGCGTTCGTACCCCATAATATTGTTATTTTTTTTAATTGGGTCGGATAGGGCTGATAATGCTGATCCGTGAGCACCCAATCTGTCACGCTCTATTCAGGTTGAATAGGTTAACATTTTATAAGGAGAACTACTCTGCCATTCCTTGTTACCCAATTTTGAATCAGTTCCCTGTAATTTTCTTCCTTTTTATCCCATCCTTAATGGTTGCTGGTCCTTCCGTTAATTCAAAACACATAAGCCGTTAGTTAAAATTGATGGAGCGATTTTTTTTTTTTGGGAATGAAAACGGGTCAAGTGGCAAAACACCGGGTCTACAAAGGGGCACAGAGAAAACAAAGGAACCAATTAGCCTCCATCATCACTTTCCATCTGAAGCTCTTCAGATGGCTCGTGATCAAAGATTCGGTAGCTCCCCATCAACGCATGAGAGTGTTTTGCCAGGCAATCAGCTAAATTTAGCTCCGCCCGAGGGGCGTGATTGAGCACCACTATCCAATTTCTGGTCACAAGTTCTTTTGCTTCTTCAACTATGTCTATGAAAGGATGCGTCAGCTCACAACCCCTATAAGTTAAATTCACTGTTTCGATGCAGTTCTCCTTTGTCACCCAAGCCACTCTCTTCTCTCCCAGAAATCTTCTCTTTTGCAGCAGCCTTTGCTTTCTTTGGTGCTTTTTTTAATTATCCATTCGAAAGTTGGCTTCAATCATAGGTTTGCTTCTGAAGGCTGCGACCCATTTATACACATCTTGTTCAGGGAACGTGGAAGCTGCTTCTGGATATACTGAAGATTGCAGTAGCAATGGGTTCGAAAGAATGGAGAAATTGGAATGGTTTTGCAGAAGAAGCAATGATGAGGGAGGAGGCCAGAAAGGCGGTAGCGTCGTTGATGGGTGATTAAGAAGCTAACGAAACGAGAAGAAAAGCAAAAGAGCCAACACAAGAAGCGAAGAAAGCAATAGAAGTTCGTGGGTCTTCGTGTTAACTGTTAAGGAAATGCTTATAGAGGCTAGACCATTCGAGAGCTGCAAGCTTATGGCTAAGGCCTAATTCAATTGAATGTAAAAATATATTGCTTGGGGGTGATGGGAATAAAAAAGGTAGTGGGGTGCTTTTGTTTGTTTGTGAATTTATAAAGTACTATCCTTAATAAAAAAAAGTTAGATTAATTTTTATTTTTAATTCTAAAGATAAGATTCTAATATATTTTGTTTTTTATATTTATCTTTTTTTTAAATATAGTTTTTGTAAGAATGATAGTTATAATTAATATATTTGATTAGTAAGAATAATTTAAAAAAGATAATATATATTTTTTATAAATAACTAACTTAATTAATTTTTTTAATTTACTTAAATTATTAAATTAATCAGCCGGGTGTTATAGGCAAGAGATAGCACCAAATAGGGGATGTTGTATTGGAAAAGCTCTGTTCAAATTCAAATGCTGACACAAGAGAAAGAGAATGACACGGGAATGTTTCAAAAGAACAAAGTGGTCTCATAAATGTGAACTTTTGATATGAAAAGAGCTTATGGGCTTCTATCCAATGGAAGCAGAAGTTGTTGCAGAAGAAATCGTCCTTAAAAAATCCGAGAGAGGGTGGTGCGGGTGATAGGGGAGAACTGAAAAAGATGGCTGAAATCGTCACTAGGCCTAAACGAGCTACTAGATCAATGGTAAAGTGCGTCCCTGATAATTATGTCTTTGTATGTGGATCTTGAGGGCTCTCAGCTACATTATTAGTTCAATTTGCTCATCAGCACCTATCCTGAGATGTGATAATCGCACATTAGCATACCATGCTTCTCCTGTTCAAACGGGGGTTTATAGTGATTTTTCACATGTTAGGTTGATGGAAATCATCATATCACCACTTTAAGTTTAACTAACAGCTTATGTGTAATAAATAAACAGAAGGACCAATATACAAACATTGAGATTCAATAAAAAGAAAAAAATTATAAGGATCTAATTTAAAATTAGATAAAACTTTAAGGACTAAAAAAAATTATAGGAACTTGGACCAAAATTAGATGAAACTATAAAGATTAAGAGATTAATTTCCTTTATTTTGTACACAGAGGGTTTTGGGGTGAGTTAGTTTGAGAGGTTAGTGTGAGGTTATCTCTTATTGATTTATTAGTTTGAACATGAGAAAAGCAGTTTTATTTTTTTAACATACTACTTTCGGTCTTAATTATAAAATCTTATTTATAAGCTACAAACGGGATTTTATAATTAAAACAAGAGATAATATATATATATAGTTAACATGAATTAAAATGACACAAACAGTGTTGGTGAAAGTTAATTCATTTAGAGAAAATACTACCTTCCGTCCCTAATGTATAAAAATTAGTTTAACTTTTAATTTGGTCTTAAATATAACATTTTAATTTATTTTGTTTTTTATATTTATCTATTTTTTTAAAGTAATTCATGTAATAATTGCATATGTTAAATATTCTATTAAATGGTAGTTTTAGTTCATACACATAATTGGTAAGAGTATTTTAAGAAATTCAACTCATATTTATTATAAATAACTAACTAAATAAACTTTATTAATTTACTCAAATTAGTTAATTAGTTCTCATATTAAGGATTAGAGGTATTACATCATATTTTCGTAAACATCCATTTAAATTATCAGGCACATCTTAAAACAAATATTTAAAATTCAGTTAACCTAATGCTCAAAAAATTCCCAAAAAAAAAAACCAATTTGCCTAAAATTATATACACAAACACTACTATATACATACACACACAAATAAGTTTGAACTGTTTTTGTCGCAGTTTTGTTTTGATCACATCTTGTCCTAATTGAATCCCATAATGTTCCGTTTGACTTTTTTTTATTTACCCACGAGTAATTGTCGATACCCCGGGGCAGTTGGATTCTAGGTTTACAGCTTTATATGATTTCCCGCGCTGCTTTGTGCCGCTTCTGGCGGTTCTCTGTTTCTCAGGTCGGTGCTCATCTGTGTATGCCCTCCGCAACGTTCTCGGCGTTCCCATCTCCTCTATTTGACCAATGAAACAAGTCTTGCAATTTGCGTCTAGAAATTGTTTATATTTCACCAGGTTCTCTTGTAGTTCTCTTTCTGTTTCCAGATTCCAAGTGTTCATAGTTGGCGTAGTATTTTGGGGGCTAATTGAATTAAAATAATTTCATGTTTTCTCTTGACTAAACGGTTGCCCTGGAACAGCAATAATAGTTTCAAACTGCCCTAGCGTTACTGGTGACTTCAGATTTCGTTTTCTCAAAACCGCCTTCGCGTTGCCACTTGCCAGAGTTTTATATTTTGTGTTCCTCTAATTAGTAGGGCTAATTAGAATTATCGAGTTTGTTGGGATAACTGAACCGACTGCATAATCGTAGCTTTGCAGGGGTCCCGAAGCTGAATAATAAGATACTGGTTTGTCCAAGAGTGGAAGCAATGAGGTCTAAAAGACCCTCCTCTAACTCACCAGAACCCGTGCCACCAGTTGTTGAAAGCAAGAAAAATAAGAAGCTTAAAGCATTGCGACCGAGCCCAAGTTCCAAGAAGCCTATTCTAGAGGTCCGTTTGACTTGTCTTTCTTACATATGCTTTGTGTTACTTTGAGTGTTGAGATCCTTTTTTATTCTGTTGGCCATTTATTATAAGCTGATAACGTAGGAAAAAGAACTCGATAGCTACTCCATTGAGATTGAGAGATTGAGAAATGATCCGGCCAAGATAGAGACAATGACAGTTGAGGAACTACGGAAAACATTAAGGTAACAGTTTTAGGCATTTTCTACGCAGACCAGCTGCTTCAACTCTCTCTCTCTGATATAAAATAGACGAGAAAGTTCCTTTGACTTAGAAAAGGTTTTGAATTGTCAGGATTGTTAAGGTCCCTGCCAAAGGTCGCAAAGATGATCTTGTATCTGCCTTGAAGTCTTTCATTGGCAATCAGACGTGGGGTATACAACATTGCTGTTAATTTAAACTGTTGCGACACGAACCTCTTGGTCTGAAAACTTATTGTTCTTCGGGAAATGGAGCAAATGAGGATGTTTTACCGAACATTTTGGGCTTCAAAGCTTAAATTAAACTCTTTTGTTACTCATTAGTTTTAGCTTTTCTCTTTAAAAGCTGGCTGTATTATTCCTTTGGTTAGAAGGTCTCTGCATGTGCAGGCCAAATTTCTCAAATAACAGAAGAACAAGGGTTATTAGCAGCTCAAAATTTATCAGATAAAGAAGACACAGTGGATGATATGCTGTTAGGATCTGATGGCAAGAATGTCAAAGTGGCAACCAAGAAGAAGATGGCAGTGAAATGTGAAGTGTCAGGTCCTGTATATTATATAAATTTGTTTCTTCACATTGAATTTGAGCACGCTTCCATTTTGATTTCAATACTATCATCCTTGGCTACCTTTTGACTGGTAACTTTTGGTTTGAAATTGACTCAGCTGACGCTTAATATTCTATTGGATTTTGTAACCAGGTTGGGAACCTTCCCGGGAAAAGAGAAAAGCATCTGCTGACATTGTAGGTGATGTTGCACAATTAGAACAACTCAATGCACCCATTGCTTTAATTGAACCATGGACTGTCCTTGCACACAAGAAGCCACAGAAAGGATGGATTGCATATAATCCTAGTAGTATGAGACCTCCACCTCTTGCTGGGGATACAAAATTTATCAAGATTTTGTCTTGGAATGTCAATGGATTGAGAGCTTTGTTGAAACTAGAAGGATCTTCAGCACTTCGACTGGCCCAAAGGGAAGACTTTGATGTGTTGTGCTTGCAAGAGACTAAAATACAGGTGGGGTATATTAGTGCTCATTCTATATCTTGGTAGAGATATACTTTTTCTGCCCTCATCCAATTTTAGATAGTGCTACAGCTGGCACATGCATGCGCACAAAGAAACAAGTTTCCACATGATAGCAGCAAAGATGGTTTATTTGTTGCGAATTGCAAAAGATATGAATTATAATAAGCTAGTCCTAAGTTATATCTTATTGATTGCTGTATTTTAGTTCTATTGACCATGATAAAATCATAAAATTAATTAGAAAATTTAAGATGCTTATGTTCTTCTCTACGTGGATGCTTTACTTCTACTAACAGGAGAAGGACATTGACGCAATCAAAACCTCCTTAATAGATGGCTATGAGAACAGTTTCTGGACATGTAGTGTGTCTAAACTTGGTTACTCTGGAACAGCGATAATCTCAAGGGTATGTTAATTCTATCTTCATGCTTATTGAAAATTTACGTGCATAATGTTAATGTTTTTTTTTAAGAAGAGATGGCTATTTAAGAGTAATAACTTGTAAATTTACCTGAGCTAAAATTTTTATTAAAAACTTGAAATTAATGCATCATGATTATTAATGATAATGCGTTTACACTTATCTCCCTGTCAAAGCTTAGGGTAAAATCCTTCTATGACATTGACATTTATGGAGAGGAAAAAATGTATCTATATTCCATAGCGAAAGGCAGATCTTAGTGCTGTGTGACGATCAAATGATTAATAATAATATTGTTTTCTTTGGCATCACTATAAAGTAGATGCCTTCACGAACCAATGGTGTTTACATTAATTTTGCTTTTTCTCATTGTTATTTTTTAACTGAAACATGGAATTTATCTGACAGATAAGGCCACTTTCAGTCAGATACGGCTTAGGCATACCAGATCATGATGGTGAAGGGAGAATTGTGACTGCAGAGTTTGATTCATTTTATTTGATTTCTGGATACGTCCCTAATTCTGGAGACGGATTAAAAAGATTGGTATATGACTTAAGAAGATTGGATTCGGAAATTCCCATTTCATTTCTAGATCTCTATAGTTTGTCATTTTAATTTAAGTATCCCCGTCCAACTAACTCTGCTTTTGATCCTAGTCTTACAGAATTACTCAGTGGGATCCATCTCTCAGTAATTATATGAAAGTATGTATCATCCTGTTTTCTCCTCTTTTCTTTTCCAAGAATTCATCGTCTATCTATGTTTCCATTTTTTGGGTTATTTTTGTAAATTTGCTTAATGATATGGCAGGTGGAGGGTGGAAATACTCATTCATATTTATATTTGCTAGCAATATGTGGTAATTCATCATGTTACATAAACAACTTGTGTAACCATTTTAACATGTTGGACATGTTCAGCATGAGTGGCTTGGTTATTCAAATCTGTTGTGTGATTTTTCTTGACCTTTTGGTGTTCACCAATCTCATAGTTGTACTTGATAATTGTAGATTTGATAGACCAAATAGCATTGTACCATATGGCGTATGGCTGGCATGTCAAAATTATGATTTTTATTCGAACAGTAAATCTTAGGAGGGGGTGATATTCTATGTTGGAGTCTCTTTCTTTTTCAACCTATTATCTGTGGGTAAATTTTTTTTTTTATGTGAAATAAATATTTTTAAACATTGTAGTTGTGTATTGTATCTCTAATGGCTCAATTTTGATATGCTGGATTCAGGAGCTGGAGAAGTCGAAACCGGTGATTTTGACTGGTGATCTAAATTGTGCTCATGAGGAGATAGACATATATAACCCTGCTGTAAGTTATCCGGACCTAAGTTTCTCCATGTAAACAATGAGAGTGTCATACGCAAGTCTCAGTATGAATCCATTGTTTCTGTCTGAGTTACTGGATTTGAAGAGGAAAAGAAAAGAGAGGAATGCCAGGGATGACCTCCTGGTAAGAATATTCTCAGTTAAGAAACAAACTAAAAAATGTTGTAAATAAGTTGTTGGTAAGACTTGGTAAACTTGAACCCTATAGTATTCCAGTCGTTTGTGTTAAGAACTGCTGCGAAGCATGAAATAAAATTTGATTATCTTTAAAAGTGACACATTTGGCATGAATTTACAGATATTGTTTGAGTCATCAGGTGGGATCTGCTTCCCTGAACTACAGAGCGCTTACACTGTTGAAGAGTCTATGTTTGATCCTATAATATGTTTTATTATTTCCCTGATGAAAAGGAAGTCTCTGTATCCCCTAAATTAAGTGACCTAATGTGATACGCCAATTATTGCATGAGGGCACGAGGTGTTCACAAAATATACGAGGCCAAACTATCGTACTACTGGTAGTGAACCAGTAATTATAGATGCTATGGGTCTATCATTGCTTGGATAATAGCTATTGGGATCACTTGCAAAATGACTTCAAATTCAATGAACAATCCTCTTGTGATGTGTAGCGACTTAGTGTAATTGATGCTGAGATCTTACGGTCCTGTTTGATACGAAATATTAAAAATGAGAGTAAGGATTGAGATTACCATTGAGAAAAATCATTAAAAAAAGTATTTAACATGAGTAATTGCTTGCTACATGGGTTTACCTAATCTCATGTAATAAGCAATCTTTTATGCTAAACACTTTTGTAATACATTTTCTCAATTCCAATCCTAGTCCTTACCCTTCATTTTTAATAATTTGTACCAAACGGGACTTAAGATTCTTGAGCTGGTGAGGTAGAGAGGGTATGGTAGTGACAATATCTGAAGGTGATGTTACCAAGCAGAGACATCACTTATGATAGGCATGCTCCGGAGCCCTACCTTACTTCTGAGAGGATCTTGAAGATCAACTGGCTTGATCAAGATGTCAAGCATGTATTAGGAGTAGGTAATAAATCATGTCACGTCTTAGCAGGACAAGTGGGTGTTATTAGAATTATAATGGAAAAGTGGCTCACTTTGCAAAACACTGGCATTACTGTTTCAAGCCTTTTTTGGGGCATGTTAAAGTTGTTTACTTATATAATGCAATCTATGCATGTTTTGTTTAACATACTTAGGAAACAAAGACAAATGGAAATTTAAGCGAGCACTCTGATAACCGATGTCTGCATCTGCATTAGTGTTGGCAGCCAAAGCAGGGGAAAAATCAGCTGTGTTCTGATTGTTAATGTGGCTACAGGGGAATAGAAGAAGTGCTGGTTTTACGGATGAAGAAAGGAACTCTTTTACTGAAAACTTCTTATCAAAGGGATTTGTGGATACCTTTAGAAGGCAGCACCCTGGGGTAGTTGGATATACTTACTGGGGCTATCGACATGGTGCGCGCAAAACTAACAAAGGTAGTTATGGTGTGCTCGCTCTTAGAACTATTATTATAATTTGAACTTGTTTAGGATGCTGTGGTGTTACAAGTGAAAATTAGTAACTCATCTGCTGGAATGTCATTATCATCTTGAAGGCCTTTCGAAAAAAGCTCACTTTCTCTGTTGTTTCTTTGCTCTGTAATTTAAAACAGGGTGGCGACTGGACTATTTCCTTGTTTCGGACTCCATAGCTGACAAGGTTCACGACTCCTACATTCTACCCGACGTAGAAGGTAGTGATCATTGCCCTATTGGCCTTATTGTCAAGTTGTAGCACTCCTAAAACACTTTAGCTGATCTTGCAGTGGCATTGCCTACTTACCCCTACCATGGGATTTTTGTTTTATCATTTTTGTTTCATGTAATTTTTGTTAATTACTGAGCCATGACATAGTGGGGACCGCGAAGTTAAAACTAGTAACAAATCTTACTGCAGGCACGCCTAATGGTTGAATTTTCCCCCATTTGAACACCTGTCAAGAAAATCGAAAAAACGGGAATGAAGAAGCATCAAATAAACTAACACCCCCCCCCCCCCAAACAAAAAAAGAAAGACAACGGAGGCAATGGTGACGCGAGTTGATAGCGGAGAAGGGACCATGTATAAATAAAGTCCCTTGGTTCCAAGATTTCTCTTCAACTATACTTGGGATATTAAGCAATGTTGATAACGCGATCTCTCCCTTTGGGGACATCCGTTAAAATTTGGATGGTACTCGCCCATTTCATGATAAAATTGAGATGACGCTGCGTTACAACTTGCTAGTTCTAGGATGAGCGTTCAGTCTTTTTTTTTTCTTTTTGGTCAAAATGCCAGAGATTCCTGCCGTCATGAATTGGCAATATCTACAATTTTGTCTACCTATATCTACCTTGGTTTGCTTGGAATAGAAAAACAAATTGACAGGTTAGTGGGGTGGTGACTCCCCCCCCCCCCCACGGGAAGATTGGGATACAACATAGTCCCTCGGCAATTTGGTACTAATCGCTCAGAAACATTTGGCCCCGCACGTACACATCCTTTAGAATTTGGATGGACACATAAGCTACATCTTGGGCTCTAGGCCATTTTCTACACAGATTCCTTCAACAAATATACCAGGATAATTGCCCTTGACGTTGGCCGAAGGTTATCGCATCAGTTGCAAGCATGTTGGCTTTTGGAAGTAAATGAACTCTATTACAGTTAAGTATGATGCATTCTCTAGGTTTATGGATTCTGATACATAACGTCATGCACATGGGAGCACTGGGGGCATCGGCAGATCCTGAATACAAAAGCAAGAACGCTAATTCTGTCTACCGAGTTCAACCCCTAATGGCTAGATCTTCGGCCTTGTTTTTTTTCCAAGGGGTAATTAGAACCATGACATCCTCTCTCAACCCACTTTTCTAAGTCAAAATTGCCTTGCACCGTCTCTGCCACTTGATTGGTAATGCCTTTCTTGCCAAAATGTTTTTGGCCGACTTGGTGAGCCCCAAGATAAATGCGACTCCGCGAACTAGGGTCCTTTCAGAAATTGTATTCTGACCAGGGTAGCTCAGTCAACATCCATAGCTTGTTCACTAGTCATGTTGCTGGACCACAGCTTTATGGTGCGATCATGGGAGACAGTAGCAATATAACGTCCATCTGCCATAAATAAGGAGGCAAAATCAGAACAGACAGCAGAGGTACACAACATATATTAGCACAAGCCATCTGCCAAAAGAAAATAACAGACTAACAAAATTAACCAAATGCTGTTTTGTCATATGTTCATAATTTGAGATTACACTGACCATTCATTATTCAACACAAAGAAGAGAAGATGGCACCTAGACAATAATAGGACTTGTCATGCAAAACAGGCCATGAAAGAAAATTGTTTCCAACTTTCGTCTTGAACGCCCAACAGTTGGCACAATTCAATAACAAAATTTCTTCACTCACTCGTCTAGATTTTTCCTTTGGTTATGATACTTTGAAAAAAAAAAATCCGGAAGACATGCACTTCAGCATTTTCAAAAACAAATTTAGATTTTTTTTGCCAACAAAAACAAATTTAGATTGAAGCTTACATGCTTAGCGAGAAGACTGTCGTGTGGAAAAAAATTAGTTAAAGTCTTGTCTTTCAAAAGTTGCTAAAAACATAAAGAGAATAGAAAATGAAAAATAGAGTAATTCTTCCTTTCAACCACTTTCATGATTGCAACGACACATCATAAATTTTGTCACGAGAGGTAAATAATTAAATGCAAGAGCAGGTTTTTAACAGCACACAATAAATGTCCCCCGCTGGACTGCATCTCTAAACAAAGCCAAAATATGCTAGGTTATCCGTTAGGAGTCCCATTGCACTTTCCATGACATTCGGAATTGATCAATCAACTAGGTAGACTTGTGATAATCACTTATTTACATATTAGGTGGTGGAGAAATTGATAGGGGAAAGGAAAGTGTGAATGTAAGGAAAACAGAAGAGGCTGAGAGGAGATAGAATTTGGTTGCCAACATCTCGGTAAATGACAGGTGGTAAACTTACCTCCAAGAATATCTAGAGAAGTGACTTTTGATTCATGCCCAGATAACGTTTTGACAGGCTTAAAATCACGAGCTGACCATACCTGGATTAATACTTAGATATAAGAAATTAAATAGAACGAACTTCCTATATAGAAGAATGTTACATTCTGATATCCAACAAAGCACTGCTAATTCAGGAAGAATACCTTCGCTGTCATGTCATACGAAGCTGTTACCAAAAAATAACCCTCTTGTGGCTCAAATTTGACTTGTGATATTAAATTAGAGTGAGCTGGTATGACGTACAAGGATTTCTTCTTTCTCAAATCCCAAATGCGACAAGTGTTGTCTTCACCACCTGTGGCTAAATGATAACCATTAGGTGAAAAACTGATGCCAAGAACCTGAAACAAATCACAAGTATAATTTAGATCATGCAATGCCAAGTGTGTGAAGCAGTGATCTTGAGGAAGGGAAAAGGGAGGCCAGGATAGAGATTGGAGAGAAACTTCAATATCTCACCGGCTTGACATGACCTTCCAGTGCAAGAATACTTCTCCCAGTACGAAGGTCCCAAACTCGAGCAAGTGAATCCAGTCCACAAGATGCAGCTAATGATCCATCATGGTGGAAAGTTAAACCATATACACTCCTACTGTGACCTTCTTGGAGAAGCAATTCCTCTCCTGTTTCTATGTCCCACAATCTCCACGTCTTGTCAAAGCTAGCAGTGCCCAAGTACTTCCCAGATGGATGGAAGGAAATGCGAGCAAGACGGTCAAGATGACCCTCAAATGTCTTTAAAAGAGACCCTTGATCATTCCAATACCTTGCAGTGCGGTCAGCAGAGGCAGTTGCTAAATGGTTGTGCACAGGAGAGTAAGCAACATCAGTAGCACGCTCTGTGTGCCCCTTGAAGGTAGAAATTTTTTTAACTTCAGGCATGCTCCAAAGCTTCGCAGCTCCAGTCAGGGAACTAAAAAATAAAACACCACTGGGACATTTTAGGCACAGTACAAGTAATGAATTACAACCCACGACGACCAGGGCACCAGTTGAACATTTTGGCATGAAGAAAAATCCTTCTTTCTTTTACATTCTGATATTGATTATATTTACTATTCAACGCAGTAAGGAGATGGAAACACCAGATTCTCAAAGATTTGACCACAACAGGAGCATGTTTTGTCGGACATTAAATGATTCTGAACAAGATATTGCAATCTAAATTCACATTCACGTTCTCAATTTCTTGTGAATGCAAAAGCGATTTTGAAAGCTACTCTTGGTAGCAGAAAGCCAATCAAAATCGCACTCAATCTTTTACAGCACAATAAAATTCATCAAAGCTGCTCAAAAGTAATTGAGAGCCGATGTTTTCTATTAAGCAAGCTCTATGTACAGAACCAGATTAGGCTAGAATGGTTTCAATGGAGTAGAGAGACAATAGTGTTACTATACAGTTTGTAGCAAAAGCATACCAGGTAGCAAGGCATTTTCCATCTGCTGAGAAGGAGCAACCAGAAAGTGGCCGGTCATCTCCAATCTCACTGCAATCAAGAACCAAGTTCTCTGCCTGCTTCAGTGCCCAATCCATTTCTGCATCTATATCTTCATCTGGATCATCTCTTCTTCTTCGAGCACGATGAAGACGTGCTGCTGCTCTTACTAAAGAAAACTTAGCAATATCAACTCTGGCATCCAGGAGGGCCTTTGACCCTTCAGTGTAAAAGGGATACTGTAGGTCTTCCTCAGCTTCTTCTTGTGCAGCAGAAGCTACAGCCTCTTCATCTTCATGAGCTTTCATCAGCTTTTCCAGCTGACCTTCAGCATCCAGTTTTGCCATAATCATTCGCAACCTGTCTCTTCTCTCCATCTCCCTTTCACCAAAAAGAGTGATCGGTTCACCAAGACGGCGCAGACGAGCTCGCACAGCCATGTCGTTTGTTGGAACAGCCAGAGCAGCAGCACGCCTCTTCATCATAAGCTCCTGCATTGCCTTTTCCTGCCTCTCTCTAACCAGTCTACTCTCTTCTGATATCTCATACTCCCCTGTACCCTTGTTTATCCCAGGGCCGGAGTCATCATGATCTGAATCAGAGTCAGTTGATCTAACCTCACCATTTTGTGACATGGGTGGCCTAATAGATGGTGGACGAACAGGAAGTGGCGCCAGTGGGCGGAGAGTGGTGGGAGGAGGAATTGAAGGAATAGGAGCAATAGGGGGCACAATAGATGGTGGAACTGTTGGAATAACAGGTTGCACTGGCGAGGGCAGCACAGCAGGAACAGGAGAAACCGTGCTTTGAACATCAGATGATGGTACAGAGGTTTCTGCAGAAACAGTTGACGTAGTCTGTTCCTCCTCGACTTCCATAATGCCTGACTAATAAACCAATAAATGAAAATTCTTAAATTTGAAATCAAACTAATTCAGGTGCCATTAACATCATCTCCAACAACTTTCAACATCTAAATCCAGTGTATTTACTGTATAGATATAAATTATATCCAAGACACTAATAGACAAGCTAGAAAGGAAAAGAAACAGCTTGGAAGGAAATGAGATCTTCCCACCCCCAGCCTGTATTCCACTATGTTTCGAACATGAAAGCAGTGAATTAATCATCAAAAATGATAAAAAAAAAAAAAAACAACTCAAGCTCAACTCAAAAGATCAGGAGAATTAGAACCAACGGTGGTTTCGAACAGAGAAATTAGGGAGGGAAGGGTCACCTTAACTCGTCGGAGCAGAAAATAACAATAGTCGAAGCCGGTGGTGTAGTTCAACAGCGGAGGCAGAGACGACTGATGAGAAAGAACACGGATGTGCGGAGGCGAGGAACAGGAAGAGAACGCCGCCCCTCGCAAGACGAGGGTTTATTTGGAATCCGAGAGATAGGCAGATAGCCAAGCGCCGCAGCAAACGACATGAGTTTTCTTTAATTTTGATTTTTTTTTTATATTTACATTAAATTCTTTACACTTTTTGCTAACCTTTATCTTCAATTTTATGCACACCTGTTTGAGTTATAATTTTTAGAATTTTAGATTTGTGATGTGATGCTTCTAATTATTTTAGTTAATTCAAGGTCAAAAGATTATTTTAGTTAATTAAATATATCCTTACAAAATGCCAAGCCATGATTTAAACTTTAAAGCGCGCTGGATTGCAAATCCTTTTTAATTTTTTAATTGAAAAATGAAACAACTTTCTAAGAAAAAAAATTAATAAAATGAGCAATATCAACCTAATTCTTACAAATTAAATCTTCACCAAGAGTGTTAGACCCCAGAAAAAAAAAAAAGGGATAGATTTTCCAAAAAATCTTTGTAAAAAAATTATATCGTTTGATCTTAAGGATTATGAAGCATGCATACATATATACATGTACATGTACGTATATATTATGGCCTTAAAAAGTGCATATACATACTGCTAATATTCATTATTTAAAAGTTTGCCCTCACAGATCCACCTCGGGCTACAAATGTTACAAGTATCTTATAACAAATTCCTACTCGCCAAATTGCCCGTCATGAAGTCCCGCTAAGTGAAATAGATTGAAGTGAAGAAATCGAGATGCAGATGGAGGGTAAAAAAGCCAGTTCAAAAACTCCACCAGCTTACAAAGACATAACAGTTAATAAAAATATTAGTAATTAGCAACTAAATTTCCGGCTTCGAGATTGTCAGCAGCTAGTCCGTACGAAACTGCGGCCAACCGTTCTTCAGATTCACGTGATATCCTTTCCTCGATTCCACTGCCTCCCATATCAGTAGATTGTTCGTCCTTACTTTCTAGCTCACTCTGCTTGTGTCTGTTCATTCCGGTATACATCTTCCTTCGGAATTCCCTTCGAGCTTCCCTTTCAGACAGTTTCAGTTCTTTAAAACCCTGTTCAAACTTCTGTTCATCCTCTGGTGAAAAGAATACAACTTCCATCTTCCCAAGTTCCTCGTATAGCTTCTCAATCTTGGCTTTCCAAAAGAGGCCAAGTTCTGTGTCCAACTTATGATATGGAGTCTTCAGGAAGTACTCATCAACCCCACCTGCCTTGTCAATGCAACGAAGGGCATGTGTGGTGACCTTAACTCGAATGTGGCGATCCAGGATATAACTGAAGAGCCGTTTCTCTTGGACGTTAGGTTTCCAAGTTCTCCTTGTCCTATCAACACCATCAGAAAAAGAATGAGTTTTATTTGCTAATATATCTTCTTTCCTTTCTTTTGAGGGTAAAATCCCTTGCTTACACAAAATTGAGCATCAAGAGATGATAAGCTGGACATTCATCTGATTCCGATTTCTATAAGAAAGCATGAGTCGCCAACAAATCAATAGCCACTCTCCACGTACTCTAGATCTAGGGGGGGTCACAATATTTCTTGCACTGAGTCCAAAACTGATTAGCTCTTTGACTCTTATAGCTTATAGTTTCAAAAATTGAACCTCATACCATTGAGATAAACTGGCCTAAATCAGAAAAATATCACAGAACCTCAATAGGATTGATTACACAAACATAAAATATCATTGAGTAATTTAAATGTGTCTTGTCACTTTCATGTCTCCATTCAAATCAATAAATCATGCTGGTTTATTTTCTGAGGAAGATTATTGCTGAAATGTAAAGTTTGAAGGCTGAACCACCTCAAACATTATGCAAAACAAAACAAAACGTATATAGCTGATCGTCTATAGTATAAACACATAGGAGAACTGTGAAGGCATACACATTTTGGCTATAAAAGGGAGAGCCGCGAATATAATTTACCAAGCACCATAAAGCCGAACTTTGGTTTGTTTCTTTCTAAGTTTCAATAATATAAATTCAGTAAAAAAATTTAATTTCTTATCAGAAGATATTAACATAGTATCAATTCACAATTACTGAAGTGATTGCAGGCTATCATTACGCTTCTCAGCATATTCTCGTGTGAGAGGGTATGCGTGTTTAACTTCTGTTTCAACACTCCACAGGCACTGGAGTCTCTTGACGATTTAAGAAAAGATTGTCACGGCAGCAAATAAGCCAACCACATGATCCAACTCCAAAAACGATAAAGGAATGAAATCCCAATGAAGTCACTCGTATAGACACGATTACACACAGACATTCCGCCTAAGACACCATTTGAAATTACAAAGAAGTTAATAGGTTCAAAATGCAAAACTTTCCCATAAATCTCATGACACCAAACTATATTTCGTGTTTCAGGAAAAAAATGGTAGGTTCTGCGGTTGAAACAGTCAGATCAAAGGGCCCGTAATGAATACCCTAAAAGCTGGGATCTACGAGATTACCACAAAGATAAAGCATCATACTTTCCAAAATAAATCCAAGATAGCTCAAAATCACAGGAATCAAAGGCTAACATAAATGGAAAGCAGTAGAGAGTACAAACTTGTTACCACCATCTTCACTGACGCGATTGCCAAACTGGATATGTCTTCCGGCATAGATACCGCGTTTTGCGCGACCCATGACGACCTTGCTTTTGGGCATGCATTTCTCCAAAGATTCCTTCACTCCGGGGGCCAAATTGTGCTCCCCCACTTTCTTGAGAACTTTCTTCATCATCTCCTTCCCTCTGAACGCCATTTTTCGAATTGCATTAGCAGGAACTTTTCGGCTCCTGTTTCTCCAAACGAAAGGCTTATGGCGGCCAAGGGTTTAGGACTCGGAACGATAAACTTGGGTGTCGTTTTTGGCCCTCAACTTATTTTTCAAGTATAATTTTACCCTCCGACGGCCTGATCTTATTTCTCAGGTATAATTTCACTTCTGATTTTTTTTTCTTGAACGCAATTTTACTTCTAATTCTCTGTGCAATTTTGGCCATGAGAGGCAAAATTATATTGAAAAAAAATCAAAGTCATAATTACACCTATAAAAAAAATCAGAGGTAAAATTACACCAGACAAAGTAAGATTGGGATTAAAATTACATCTTAAACTATTTTCATTATAATTTTCCCTCTTTTTAAGCATGGGGAAAATGACCCATGAACAACTTCAAATTTACAGAAATCCAAGAAAAAAGTACATGAATATTGCTAATTCTTATAACGAAACAAATTTCAAGCAAAAATATGCAAATGCTCTTTATAATTTCTATTCCAAAATTAATAAAATAAATTAAAAATTTGTCATAACAGCCCGAAATTTAAAAATTAAGGCTTTCCTTAAGACATGGATTTTTTCCATGGTATAAAAACTCGGACCGGACCGGCCGGGTTAGCCCGGAAACCGGCGACCCGACCAATCATCCGGTCCGGTTGATGGCAAAAACCGGCAGGTAGCTGACTCGATGTGACTCGGTATAGACCGGTGTGATTTGGTCATAACCCGGCTAACCCGTTGGGTTGAGCGGGTTATTGGGTCACTTTTTCTATCCAGCACTGAGAAGGAAAAAGAAAGATCACCGGAGAAAAAGAAGAAAGGAAATGAGAGAGAAGAAAAATAAAAAGGAAGGGAAAAAAAAAACTTACCGACACCTCCAGAAAAATCTTGATAAAAAAAGAGTGAATGAGATTTTCGAATACAAAAGATGAAAGAAAGGAGATCAGAATGATTAGGAAGAGTGAGATTGTGAGAACTGGAGGTTTGTTTTTCAGGTAGTGTTGAGAGGGAGAGAGAGACTACAAACAAAGCAGCATCGATGAAAAATTCAAACCGGAATGAAAGAAAACAAAGAAGAAAAGGCTAGCTTCTGCTATTGAGGTGACTAAGCAACAGTAACACATGCTAAACACGCAAGAAAGGAGAGAGAATAAGGAACAAAAGAAAAGACATAAATATAAATAAATAAATAAAAAGAAAAATTGCATCCCATCACAGCTGATCACCCGTTAAATGGCAAACTGACATGTTAAAATGAAAATGAACACTTAACATGAGCATAGCTATTCATTTCGCATATATCTTAGATTAAAAATTATTTTTAATTATCAAAAATAAATATTTTTATATAATTAAATTAAATTAATTATCACCGGTCTGACTCCGAGTTGACTCCGGTTTGACCCACTAACCCTTGACCCACTACCTTGACCGGTTCAGTGACCGGTCCGGTTTTCAGTACCTTGATTTTTTCTCACTTCTCAAAATGTTTAGATCAGAATGATGATTTATTAATTTCTATTTTGAAATTGGTAGAATGAATTGAAAAATTGTTATTAACTTCTGAAATTTAGAAGTTAAGATAGAGTTATTCTTTCAGATCACTCACAACTTTTACATAAGTATTAATTGCATTTCATTAGTTATTAACAATTTTTATTAAGAAGTAACAATTTCCATATTTCATGTCATTCACAATTTTTATATAGATACTAACAAGAATAATATTAATAACCTTCACGTAGCAAGTTACAACATCTCATCCATCTAGGATTGTTTTTAGCGACCACTGCTTTTTTAATGCATAGAGAGCAATCACATCAAATATTTTCAAAGTTACAAATAGTGCTATAAATATTATAATTGGATATTTTCCAATTGAATCCAGGAATTTTCCAATTGAAATTATAATATGAAGTTATAATTTACCTAATTTTTCAATCCTATTGAGACAGGCCTTTTCGCTAAGATGTGCACTACTCTGCTGTGTGTGTATTGATGCAGATATAAATAGATCACAGTAACTTCATTAGCAAGCAAGGGCAAAGAGGACGCATGAATCCTTTATGATAAAGCCGCTTAATTAAGAGAAGTTTATGAATGGATATTCTCACCGAACAATTTTGTTATTCTTATTAATGCCATTTAAAGCAGTGAAATCCAACCGGCTAATTAATGCTAATTGATGCTAATTGACTATAAGAGTTTTATATTTAGAACCAGAAGAATACTATATTCAGTCTTTAATATAAAAGCTAATTGACTAATTTAAACAAATCAAGAAAATTAATTAATTTAGTTATATGTAATAAATAGGTCTTATTCTTCGTAAAATATTATTTCTAATTAAGTGTATTGATTAAAACTATCATTATTATAAAAACTATTTAAAAAAAATAAATATAATAAATAAAACATATTAGAGTTTTATATTTAAGATTAAAATAAAAGTTAAATGAGATAGAAATTAATATCAGTGGTGGTACAGTGTATACGCGGCATCGAATCCAACCCAATCCCCTACTGACGATGACTTGCAAACAATACGTTAGTGTTTATGTAATTTTGTTGAACTCCTTCCAACTTTGCCGAATCCATCATATGCTTATCCGTCACCTGCAACCGTTTTTTCTGCTTCTGCTTTTCCTTTCGTTCGGCCCTTCTTGGAGACCTGTAAAGGCCACCAGATGATGCTTTTGCCCTTGTTGTTTCTCTCTCAGTTGCTCGCCGTGGGATCAGTAGATCACCACCGATGCCGAGGATCTCGAAACATCAGATTACTGCCGGAGAGGCATCTCCAGTTAGCCGCCGGTGCGCCCTTCAAGATAGCTCTCTTTGCCGACTTGCATTTTGGAGAGGCCGAGTCTACTGATTGGGGTCCACTTCAGGACGTAAACTCCATCAGAGTCATGAATCAAGTGCTTCATGATGAAACTCCAGGTGATTCTGAATTTTTTTTTGACAATAGGCGTCTATGGGGATGATATATGCGTAATATTGGTAAGGGGGTTTATGGTAATTGTATTGAAGGAAGAGGTAAGTTTTGCCTTTCGAGTTAGTTATAGAGAGAGAAGAGTAACATTATCACGTGCATAGGCCAGAATATATATCCCTGTACTGATGCTCATTGCTTTTTGCGAATGAATATTCTGGTTTTGTCTCTCTGCACATAACAGGGGAGTTCTATACATTACTGCATTATGAAGTTATTTGTAATTTCTCAAATTCCTCTGTACCAAATGCTAACGTAGTTAATTGTGGTTGGTGATAGGTTTTGTAATATATCTTGGAGATGTTATTACGGCTAACAACATAATGGTTGAGAATGCAAGCTTGTATTGGGATCAGGCAATCTCACCAACAAGAAACAGGGGCATACCGTGGGCAAGTGTGTTTGGGAACCATGATGATGCTCCATTTGAGTGGCCAATAGAGTGGTTCTCTTCACCTGGAATCCCCCCAATTCGCTGTCCTCAACCTACCACTTCATATTCAGGTGTTAAGTCGCTAACTATTAGGTGCTTGTGGGGTTTCTAATTATTGTTATGGTTGTTTACTGCTTCCTATGAGACGCCCGATGTTGAAAAGCTTGCAGAAGTTAATTATAAGCAGTGTTAAGTTGTTATTTAGGCAGAAATATAACTTAAGCCTATGTTCCATCAATTGAAGTATTAGGGATAACATGATTTAGCAGTGGCGCTCATCATCTTCTTCCCATAAAAAAGTACTTCAGCTAAGGCATCTTCCTCTACTTCTTATTTTTCAGCAGAAGAAGAATGTAGCTTCAAGGGAACTGGACGAGTGGAACTGATGAAAAATGAGATCAAGAACAATGCCTCCTTTTCTGTGAATGGTCCTAAGGAGCTTTGGCCTAGTGTATCCAACTATGCTCTCCAAGTCTCCTCATCAGATGATAAGAAGTCACCTGTGGCTTTCCTATATTTTCTTGATTCTGGCGGTGGTTCCTATCCTGAAGTCATTTCCAGTGGCCAAGCAGAATGGTTCCAGAAGAAAGCTCAAGACATGAACCCCGAGTCAAGGTAGAAACAACGCATAACTTGTTTGATTTCTCATGTTTGCCCTACCATTAAAGACAATGAGTAAGATATACATGTTGAAAAAGAATTCATTACATTTTGAATCTTCGTATTCATTTTTCACATTCCTAGTTCCTTATCATCCAAATTGACAAATCATTGCCTGACAGGGTTCCTGAGATTATTTTCTGGCACATACCAACTAAAGCCTATAAAGAGGTGGCTCCCAAGTCCACAATAGCCAAACCTTGCGTGGGTTCTATCAACAAAGAAGAGGTTGCTGCTCAAGAAACTGAAACGGGTATCATGAAACTCCTTGGGGAAAGAACTTCTGTCAAGGTAGAGAACCTAGCCAACAAACTATATGTAAAAAAGGGTAATAGTGTACCGTGTAACGCAGTCGTTATAAGCAACATTAGAGTTGGATGATACGAGACTACGAGTATATAGTTTGACTTCAAATATATATGTTACTGATCTGATGCGTCTACCGCTACTGTATGACCTGGTTTGGTAGTATACATTTGAAAATCCTTTAAACATTCCTGTGCATGGCTAGAATTATCGAGTTTAGGAAACTTGCTGATTGAATGAATTTGCTTTGATGGACACAAGCGGGCATTGAGTTATTCTTTTTTACAACTGCAGGCAATATTTGTTGGACACAACCACGGATTGGACTGGTGCTGCCCATACAAGAGACTATGGCTGTGCTATGCCAGGCACACCGGGTATGGCGGCTATGGAAATTGGCCTAGAGGGGCTAGAATTGTGGAAATCTCTGAGAAACCCTTCTCTCTTCGATCTTGGATAAGGATGGAGGATGGCAATGTTCATAGTGAAGTTGTCCTGAGCTAGACGTCCTGGCAATATCTTGATAAAAGAGAAAACACACAAAAATAGAGTAAATGTTCTTGTGCGTTTGTTGCACTTATATTTATCTTCAACCAGGTTTTTCATTCTTTAAACAACAATAACAAATGGGGATGCAGATAATATTAATACACCTTTCTCGACGTGCTTCTCCTTGGTCTGAAGAATTCAACCTCGTCTACAGTACTAATGGAATATAAAGGCACGCCAAAATCCTCCGGTTCTAAATATAAAATTTATTTTGTAGTGTAACCTACATTATAAAATTAGTCTTATATTTAGAATCGGAGGAGTATCAATTTTTCAAAATTAGTTTTGTAGTCTGCACCAAAAACTTTTTAAAAAACAAGAAGAGTAGTTGGTTGAATAAAAAATAAAAAGGGACACCTTATGCTCACACTCATTAATCATCAATTACCACCAATTCCTCATAAGCAACCATTGAGGACTTCTTCGGCCTCACTCCATATCCGTTACATGAAAACTGAAGAGTAACTCCAGTCAGGTTTTTACGTACATCATTCATACCATTGGAAAACATGTCATACTATTTATAAAATTACATATAATTTATATACATATAAATAATAATAAATGGCTTAACGTTGAAAAATAAAGAGTGACATGCACTTCAATCTTTTATGATAATTAAGCTATTAACCAAAAGACAAATAAACAAGCAAAGTTTATAATGCCACATGAACCGAAAAAGGTTCTAACATCATTCATACATACTCTTTTGATTTTATTTATAAGACATTTTCTGCGTATTTTTATACAGACTTAAAAAATTTAAAATTATATTAACTCTCTATTAAAATATAATAAATTTTTAATTTTATCTTTATTTAATATATATATATTAAAAAATTAATTATCTACACTATAATAAAATAAATGATAAAATAATATATTTATATTAAAAATTTAATGAAGTATGAGAGGAGTATACTTGTGCGACGTTCTAGTGTTGGCACAGTCCCCGTAAACTAATATCAATCAAATATTATGGATATTTTTTTTCGCGAACAATTTATAGAAACTACGTGCCTGTTTGGGTCAGCGTTTGCTGGCCCAAACATGGCTTATAAGCACTTATAAGCTCGGTGGAAATTTGGCCCGTTTGGCAGAGCAATATGGCAATTGGGCTTATCATTTTTTAAACCCCTGAACGCACGATTGGCATAAGCTCGTGCCTAGCAGCTTCTGGCCCCTGGGAATTCAGCTTATGACCGTTCTGACACCACCTTTATTTTTTTGTCTTCACATCTGCCTTCCTTTATTCCCTAACTCGTGACTCTCTTTTCCTTTTAACCCGAGCTCCCAGCTTGCTCCGTCTCTGCTCGGCTCGAGAACGTCCGTCGGTGGTCGCGTCTGAGAAGGTCGTCGCTGGTGACCGTGAGCTCCGTCCGGTCATCATCGCGAGGTCAGCTGTTGGGGTGAGGTGTCCGTGGCTTGGTGGATGCCGTTCGTTCATCACAAGTCGGAGCTGCTCTCACCGTCTGCAACCGACGTCGCCGGCGTCTGCCTCTGCGTTTGAGCCGTGCGTGGAGATCTTGGCTTCCCAGTGCAATATACCGTTGGATCTACCTCTGGCAGCTTGGATCTACTGCAGGTTGGCCGGTTATGTCACTTTTCCGGTTTGATCCCCGGTCCTCCTTCAATTTGTTGTCCTCCCTGAATTTCCTGTCGTCCTTGAATTTCCTATCTTGCTTGAATTCGGATTTGTTCATGATTGCTGCATGTTGAGGAGCGACTGGTTGTGACACCGAAACAGGGACCGAATGTAGCATGAAATTTCTACTTGCATATCGATTTTCTTCCTCTGTTTTCCAAGGCTGAAACAATGATTAATGGTTCAAGAATTTCCTATCGTGTGTTAGTTCGGATTTGTTAATGATTGCTGGATGTTGAGGACCGACTGGTTGTGACACCGAAACAGGGACCGAATGTAGCATAAAATTTACTTGCATATCGATTTTCTTCCTCTGTTTTCCAAGGCTGAAACAACGATTAATGGTTCAAGGAAACGGCGTATAGGATTCTCTTGATTTTTATGGTTATAGGATTCAAGAAATTGTTGCGTATATACGTTGTTAATGGCGAGATATGGACCTCTGGAATTGTAATTTTCAGAATTACAATGGTTGTTGTTTTGCATGTCCTTAGCTTCGGTCTCTTGATTTTTATGGTTATAGGATTTGATCTCTATGAGGGTAAGGTAGAAGAGAATGAGGTGGTAACATGGTGTATATATGTGTATATATGTGTGTCCGGATGGTTCATTTGATAAAGCTAATTAACGGAGTTGATAGAGCAAAGTAATAAGACATTAATTTGTACTATACAAAGAAATTAAGGACTATGTGGATAATTACTTAAAAATCATTTGGAATTAATTTGGGGAAGTCTCAATCAAAATAAATTTAATGTTGTTCTTTCTCCTGTTATATTCTCTTACTTCTCTCTAATATGATATTTATTTAACTAATTTAATTATATTAAAAAAGTTAGGTAAATTAGTTAATTATGATAAATATAACTTATTTTTGTAAATAATCTTGTTCATCATTCTTAATTTGGTTTTTATTTTACTCCTACATAGTTAAATTAGGATAAAAATTAATCAATGTAATGTAGTTTAGGTTCAATTTATATGATATATTGAAAATTTAATTTCAAAATGTTCACAATCAATTACCACTGGAAAATAGTGGACATTGACATTGTGATTATATATTTATAATTTTAAAAAATATTGAATAAGAAAACTAAACAGCTTATGCAATTAAAATGTGTTACTTGGTGATATATGTTTGTTTGGTTACAATGTATGTGTTATATAATACGGCTTTCATTATTACATATTTAGGGCTTTGGTTGATTTAGTTGCTCTTATCTCGATCAAAGGGCGTAGAGAAATGGATAATGACAAGGGAAAAGCGACATGGGATCATTACACGACAAAAATTCTAATCGATGTTTGTGCCGAGTAAATAGTGCACAAAGAAAGACAAGGAACATCGTTTACAAGACCTGGTTGGTTGAAAATTGAAAAGAATTTTCGGGAAAGGAGCGGGAAAATGTATGACAGGAAGCAACTGAAGAACAGATTCGATGTATTGAGAAAAGATTGGAAGTTGTGGGAAAAACTGATGTCTGGGGAGACTGGCATTGGTTATGATGCAGCCACAAATAGGGTGTTGGCCTCTGATGAGTGGTGGCAACGAAAAATACTGGTAATTATTTGTGTTAGTTGAGTTTTAATTTTGAATATCAGAAGGAACAGCGCTTAATTATGCCTAATTATGTTCATGTAGGTGGACCCTAATTTCAAGAAATTTAGACATCAGGGGCTGATGTTTGCATCAGATCTGATGAGAATATTCAGAGATGTTGTGGCTTCGGGAGAGTATGCGTACGCACCATCAGCCTCACAGCCTCAGCCAGCGTTTGCTCCACAGCCTGACACAGAAGAGGAGGATGTTTATAGAGTCGGGCTAGACCAACAAGAAGGGTCAGGGGATAGTGAGGATGAAAACTTTGGTGTGGACCCAACAGCCAGTGCCTTCACAAATGACTTCGCTGCTTGCAACATAAACACCCCCGCAAGTACTGGACCAAGTGGCTCAGGAAGCTATGGAAAGAGAAAGAGGGGTGAGACATCAGATGCAAAGAAGAAGAAGAAAGTTGCTGCAACTACATTAATTTCTGATAGCCTGAGTGTCATAGCAGCTGCTTCTGACAAGCGAGCAGCAGCATTGGTTGAAGATCCCCAAATAGTTGATAAGGTTTTGGCACACCTGACTACCGTTGAGGAGCTTAATGATGACAATCAACTATATTATGCATGTGCCAAGATGCTTACGCGGTTGAGGTGGGCTAGGCGAGCCTATTTGGGGCTTATGCATGATAGAAGCAAGTTGTTGAGGTGGTTGATACCGGCAGCACAAGACCCAGACACATGGAAGTGACCTGCAGAATAGGATTTAGTTTAGGACTTAGCTGTTTAACTATTGTTATTGCACTTGTTAACCTGAACTACCTGCTGTTTTAACCTAAACTGATGTGGCATGTTGTAGGAACTTTATTAATCATTATGTAATATATTTACGCTAATTTCTACTTGTCATCTATGCGTTTGGTTTTTCTGTTTGCAGTATGAAAATTATTTACACTTTGTTTAGTGTAATCCTTATAATGCTTACATTTTGTTTTCACCATAATTACAGGGTTAATTCCAGAAATGGCTAATTGGAACGATGATTCACCATGGAATGAAGATACTTTATGGAATTGGAATAACGATTCACAGCCAAATGAAGATGACCATTCAACCATAATTAATGAGGAATTAACACAATATGAAGCAGTAGGTGCATTGGTTGGTCATTATTGTGAAATGTACTGCTTAAACAACCGTGCAGAACTAGTGAGCAGACAGGAAATTTATGGGTACAAGGCATTATGAATGGGCATGATGATCGATGTCATGAAATGTTTAGAATGGATAAAGATGTTTTCCACCTCTTATGTACTAAATTGGTGGAACATGGTTTACAAAAGTCTAAGTACGTAGGAATTGAAGAAATGGTTGCGATGTTTTTAAACACGGTTGCACATGGACAATGCAATAGGATGATCCAGGAACGATTTCAACGATCAGGGGAAACTGTAAGTAGGCACTTTCATAATGTACTGCAAGCTTGTCTTAGCCTATCGAGTGAACTTATTCGACCCATAGATCCAACATTTCGTGGAACTCATAGAAAAATTGAGAACGATCCACGTTACTACCCATTTTTTAAGGACGCAATCGGAGCAATTGATGGCACTCATATACAGTGTGTTGTCCCCGCTGCAAAACGAGACAAATTTATTGGCAGAAAGGGATATCCATCACAAAATGTCATGGCTGTATGTGACTGGGATATGTGTTTCACTTTTGTCTTGGCAGGATGGGAGGGATCTGCACATGATGCTCGTATATTTGATAGTGCTATTACAAATTCATCTCTTAATTTCCCTCATCCACCTCCAGGTATATGTTTATGTGTTCCAATCATGCATGTTCTTTTAATTATTTCATACTTTTATTCATTTCACAATCTCTCAAATTGTTTCATGAATCATTAGGGAAATATTACTTGGTTGATGCGGGATATCCAACACCAAATGGATATCTAGGTCCATACAGATCTGAGCGCTACCACCTTCCAGACTTTCGACGACAAGTAGGATTCCGAAATAGCAACGAAGCCTTTAATTATTATCATTCCAGTTTAAGGTGCACAATAGAAAGAACATTCGGTGTTTGGAAGAATAGATTTCAAGTCCTCCGAAATATGCGCAGTTACGACTTCCAAACACAAGTGTATCTGGTTTGTGCAACAATGGCCATTCATAACCTTATAAGGAGACATTCGAGCTCCGACTTGTTTTTTGAACAAGCTGAAAATGGTAATAATGTGGGCGAACATGATCAGGCTGAAGCTAGTCAACCATCATCTTCAAATGTTACATCACAATCTTCATCGCATATGAATCGCGTCCGTGATGCAATCAGAGACCAAATTATCCATAGCTTATCTATTGATTAGTTATGTAATATTATTTAGTTTCACTTTATTGCAATACTGTAAATTGGAGTTAAAAACATGTTTACCCATTCAAATTATGTTTCGTTTTATATTTGCAATTTTTTTTCCATTTCTCTTATGTTTTCAAATTTAATTCCCTCGATCAATTTCACTTCTTCATATCAAATTAACAATAATTCACTATATTATATCAATTCATTTTTTTTCATGTTTCACATTATATTTAAAATATTTGTTATAATTTTTTTGAAAATTTTAAAATTTAATTCACTCATTAATTTGACTTCTTCATAATAAATTATTTTAATTTCATTGTATTATGTCAAATCATTTTTTTTATCATATTTCATTATTTATTAACACCTATACCCATTTTAGTCATTTTATAACCAAACTCACTTTTACTCAACTATAATCCAAACACCCTTTTTACCAATTTCACTTCTGCAAACTAGCTTTTCTGAACTCCAATCCAAACACAATTCAGCTTATCCAATTTAGCTTTTACCAACTTCACTTCTCCATAAGCTACTTTTCCTATAAGCTGCTTTTCCAATCGCTCATCCAAACGGATCCTACGTTACCATATATTGAAGTCTTGCGGGCGTTGTACCAGAAATGGGGAGAAAAATGAAATAATAAGTTATAAGAAATCTTAACCAGAAATGGACTGCCTGTCGAGCAACAAAAATTGTTATTACGCTCAAAGACTTCGGCCAACTCCAATCCATCAAAATGAGGATGATAAAAACACACCGAAAAACATGAAACTGGGATTGGTGACTTATTATGGTTCAGAAGATTGTTTAGATGGAGCTTCTTTTCTAACTGATTTATGGGAAAAAATAACTTTTCTAACTGACTTATTCAACGCAATTTGAATCAACTTTTCTAACTGACTTATGAAAAAATTGTGTAAAACTTTTGATCTAATTAGTTATGTGATTTTGTTTACTTTAATTAAAGACCAAATAAATTTTAATTTATATTCATGTTTTTCTATTATGTATATTTAATTAATTATCTGCAATGTTTTTTTCAAATTTTTCTCCGTAACAGATATTTTTATTATATAATTTCACAAACAAACTATTTATATCTTATCATAATAATTTTATGTATTTTTTAAAATTATTATCACATTAAAATATAAATTTCAAATATTATTACTATTTAGTAAAATTCGTATATTTTTCAATCATTTTACAATTAAATTAACTTTTCTATTAATCATCTAAACAACTTTTAACTTTTTTAACTGATTTTTTATAAACACCTATCCAGATATAATCACATTACAATAATTGACTTTCACTCTAATTTAATTATAAAAATCAATTGGATTAGAGTCAATTTTACCGAGCGCTAATCTACACATTTAATGCATGGGTGTGCAAATGCAAGTTTCCGTCGTCTACTCTGCTTCTGCATTCCCGTTGTTGTGGGGTTATGGACACCTGTCAGAGCCAATGGACGCATTTCCTCCTGTTGTTTCTCTCTCTGTTGTTCACCGTAGGATCAGCTGATCAGTACCCAACACCGCGAAACGTCGGATTGCGGTCTGATTCGACGCCGGAGAGGTATCTCCAGAGAGCAGCAACTGGTGTGACGAGGCTGCGTCCACCGATTGGAGCCCACCTCAGGACATGAACTCCACCAGAGTCATGAATCAAGTGTTCCAGGATGAAAATCCAGGTGATGATGCCCTAGCAACTCCGTTTCTCAATTTCCGAACAATATGTGAGGGGTTTCATTGGCTCTGAGATAACACATTAGCACCACAGTAATGTTAAATTATCACTTTCAAAATTCTTCTGTACCAAATGCTCATGAAGTTAATTTTTTGTGCTGTTTACAGACTTCATGATACATCCTGGGGACGTCATTACGGTTAACAGTATAATGACTAAAAATGCAAGCTGTTATTGGGATTAGACGACGTCTCCAACGAGAAACAGGGGCATACCATGGGCATGTGTGTGGTTGGAAACCATGATGATGCTCCATTTGACTGGTCACTAGACTAATAATCTTTAATTAGTTGACGATCTAATTTCAGGGAGTTTTAATGAACTTTGCCAGGAAAATAGCCCACATATCAAGTCAGCAATCACCATATTTGAGAACTGTGGATTAGAAAAAGTGTGCAATTGCATTAAAAAGGGGATGCTTTCAGATAATTCTGACCAAATCAAACTGTCCCCCTACAGAGAAACACTGCTCATAGGTTGATCTGCAATTCTGCATAAAGCAATTTTTCCTGCCATTGCTCGTAATCCATTTAAATATAAGATCTATTTTATAATATAAACTATACTATAAAATAGATTTTATATTTAGTACAGAAGGAATACTTGTTAATGTTGGGTCATTGTTGAAGCAGAAAGAAAGTCATTTTTTCCCTTATTAGCGAACAAACAAAAAAAGAGAGGGAGAAAAAACCGAGAGACCAGACTAAAAAATCGAACTTACTTATGGAATTCAGTGCCTCGTGACTTTCCTTGGACACTAAACAGCGAAAGAGCCACCTTACCCTCTCCCATGTTGATGGACCACTCTAGAAGCCAGAAATATTACCGCTTCTAAAGAGAGGTCAGAAAACGTGCTCACATCAATTACCCTAGAAAGAACTAGGGCCAGAGTAAATATGTAAAAATTGAATTCCAATGTTCATTGTCTTGTTGGAAAATCAAACTAAACATATAATCTTCATCGCATTTCAGAAAAGTAAATTATTCGAGTTCTTCAGCAGCAAAATCAGATATTCGATGAACGGTTTACAAGTTAAATCATGTGGATGCTTTGGTGGTTCGAGTATTTATTGAGTTGCCGACCCTATGGCAAGCATTATTTGAGGTAAATCCATCGCTGTCTTCGTTGGGCTCTCAGTTGCAATTCTAGTTTTTATCCAAGATTCACATGGGAATTTAAGCCCTTATCCACAAATCCATAACGAAAGAATCATGTAGTTTGTATAGAGGAACAAGAAGCATGTCCCTGAACCTACGGAACAGTCCATAAATAGATTGACATATTTTAATGGGTTTGTCTTCACAAAGGGACGCGAGCATGAATTTCAATTGAGAACATAAGATGAATTTTTCACTTAATTTTTTAGTGCACGAAATAAGTTATAATAGCTCGGCAACTCAGATTTAATCAGAACAATTCTATTTAGGCCCGTTTAAATAACTAAATCCCTTCAACTAACTCATCGCAAACATTCAAAAAGTTTCTAGGAAATTGATCCACCCAAGTTCAAAAGTAGTGTTAGGTTTGCTTTTAATCAGGGGACTATCTAAAGTGCTTTTGCATTGACCGCAGACCAGATTCAAAATGATTATGATGAATGGCTCACTTCCCTTCCGGAGGGAAGGAAGGCGAAAATAAAAAAGGGCACGCAAGTTTGACGAAAGCAGACATTTGCAATGGACCGTAGCGGTTGCAAAAATTGACATATGGAAGAAGATAGGACAAGAGGGACCCCATGAAGTTGAATTAACTTGCTTTTAAATCCCCAGTCATGAAAGGGAGGCTAACAGCATTTTCCACATCACATTACAGTATTCATTGCTATGCCTTTTCCCTATGCATTTCTTCCTTCCATATTCCCTTTTATGAGGACCTTTTCAATGGTACTCAAAAGTGAAAAAAACATGATTTCATGAAAAAGCCAGTTTTGATGACATAAAGAAGAAACCCTCTTGGAGAAATGGTCATCAATGTCTAGTACAAAAAGTTGGGGTGCTTGGTATTTCATAGAGTAAATGTTTGAGTGGGTTTCTGTCAATTTATGCCCATTCTCCCCTTGGGTTAACCAAGCCTGCTGTTTTTCAGGCATTCTACGCGGTATAGTTCATTGATGTTCGCCGGCCTTGGAAAAGGTTAGTCTAGCGGAATGGTCTGTTTTCTTTTTTCTGAGTTTATTGACATCTTCATGCTTGTTGAAATATACTCTTTTCTGTGGTGCACTTTTTGTGTTTGATTCAGTGCCTCTGCTGTTTAGAATTTATTCCTGTGTACTGATAGGTCATTAAATGACCGTACTAATAAAGTTTGTCACTGCTTGCACACACAGTTCGTGTTGACAAATGAACAGCAGGAGGAGCAAATAGAGTAGAGTAGAGTAGAGATTGTTGAGGCATTTTAATTACTCAACGAAATCATTGATCATGTACATATTGCCGTCTACAAATTCTACAGCTGGCCTTTTCTCCTCTGTCTAAACTCTAAAACATGCGTGAGTAGGAGAGAATGCTGTTTGGAGTATTTGGTTCATAAGATGTCATAATTCTTCATGGCAAAGTGGAACTGCTTGTTTGGATGTAGCAAAAAGCTATCAACTTGCGAAGCAAAGCCCAAAGTAAGAGGTCTCCTGGAACGCTTACATACAGAATGGCATTACTTAACATTGCCAATTTTGATTGATATCTCTTTTATCTGTGATCTCAGAATTTAAGGAGATGGAGTTGTGGTCTTGGGGGGGTCAAGCAGAAACAGCATGCGGCGCTTACAGAACCAATCAGAACACTACGTGAAGCAAGAGAAGAACAGAGAAAGCATGCAATGACAGTGGCTGTTGCAACAGCAGCAGCTGCTGAGGCTGCAGTTGCTGCTGCTCATGCTGCTGCCGAAGTTGTCAGGCTCACAGGTGCTTCTCGCTCCTACTCATATCTCTCCAAGGGAAACCGAAACTTGGCCGCTAGTAAAATTCAAAGTGCATACCGTGGACATCTGGTGAGCTTCCTCAGAACTTATTAATGAATTTTACCATATGTCTAGGTTGAATAGGTTTACACTTTAAAGATGAAATAAGCCAGCAAAAGATAGTGGTTAAAATTTCAAGTCAGAACGAAACTTCTTTTGATTTTACTTCAGTAACGAGAAATGTTCATTCGTGCAATTAGAATTTAATGAATGAATGGCAGCTACAAAACATTAGGCGCATCTATCCATTGTTAGAGCAGAATTGATTAAAAATTTGCAAGCAGATTTCTTTTTCAATCGGATAATAATTACTGTCATAGTCTGGATTTTGTGGTTGTTCCTGATTTTGTATTAGGGAGTCAGCTCCCTTGTTCGCAAATCTATTCAGTCATACTATAGTTGATTGTATGGGTGAAATTAAGTAAACTGTGGACATGAATTCAGTTGAACTCTTAACTGATAATGAAATAGGCCAGGAAAGCATTTAGAGCACTGAAAGGAATTATCAGATTGCAAGCTATAGTTCGTGGTCGAGCTGTGAGGCGTCAAATGGGTTTGCGTTCCAACAGAAAAAAGCAGGTAGGAATCCAGGAAAGCAGTAGTCATGCTGCAGATAGAATTAGCAAAGATGCTAAAAGTAAGCAGCTTCCAAAGCAGAAAAAGAAGTTGGAAGATACGGAAATGAAGGTTAGTATACAACTATACAATATTAACATCAACATGCCAGAATAATTTTTAGGCAATGTTTGGTACATGAAAAAGTGTTTTCTAGAAAGTAAATGAGATTGTTGCATTTATTACTTCCTTTTGAGAAAGATCTTTTTCTGTGTAACAAACGTTGCATTAGTATTCCATTTTCCAAAGTGGGAATAGTGTCAATAAACAAATGACATACTGCTTTCTAAGGATTTCCTCTGTTTCAGTAGTTCAACTGTAATTATAGTTATTTCCCTGACCCTGCTGAATTGTATTGTAAGCCGGTAGATCAAATCTGCGTTGATGCTGTACAATTCCTCTTGCTAATTCTTTCAAGAATTTAGTTACAGCTTGAATGCCATAGTCAAAGAACTTGGGACTGCAGCTTGCACTCAAAAGAAGACATTGAAGCTATATGGTTGAGAAAGCAAGAGGCTATTATTAAAAGAGAACGCATGAAGCAGTACTCTTTCTCACAACGGGTAACCTCATCTGATATACTTTCTATCTTAGTAAAACTCTTGTGATAATTTAGTCACATGCTATATGCATCTAAGAATTGCCATGCAATTTTCTTTAGGAGAGAAAATTTTGCCACATGGGGGTTGAATCTGTTCCCTATAAGGAATTTAGAGGAGAGAGCTGCCGTACTCTAGGACAATGGCTGCACAGAGAAAAATGTAATGGAGATGTGATTTATGAAACAACAATTCCTTCAAATTTGATTGCTAGGGAATGGCGTGATGCAACACAAGTTGAAGAGAAGAATGTGAAAATAGGAGAACATCTGCAAGAAGACGACTTGACTTCAGTCACTTCACAGCTTTCATTCCCAAGGAAATCATTTTCTTTTCTGAAGAAAAGTTCAGTTGTAGATGGCAGTTCCATGCCAAATTCTCCAATTTTCCCAACACTCTTGGGTGTGACAGAATCTGTGAGAGGAAAGGCAAGGTCTATGAGCACTCCGAGACAAAGAACAGGATTTATGGACAGATTCTCGGAGTGAAGGCGGAACTTTCAGGAGTTCTTGTCATGACGCAACGACGAGCGCCAATGAAGAAAATGAAGTTTCTCACCAGAGATGTCAAAATGTCAACCTCCACTATTATCGTTAGAAGTTGTTGAAACTGATGCATGTAATTGCGATGTACTGCTACTGCTTTTATAAAAACTAGTTGAGTAATCTGAGAAGATTAAGAAAATTAGTTAAATTAGTTATTTATAATAAATATATGTCGTCTTTTTTAAAATATCCTTACTAATCAAGTATATTAACTAAAACTACCATTATTAGAAAGACCACTTTAGGAAAAAATGTATAAATATTATAGACGAAGTAGATTGGGATCTTATATTTAAGATTAAAATAAAAATTAAATAAGATCTTATATTAAGGACAGGTAGTATTAGAAGAGTGAAGGACAAACTCGTTTGGTCTATTTTATGTTTGAACCTCGTCTTTTGCATCCGAGACATGCTGCTGAATCCTTGGTTTCACATGCACATCAAGTGCTCTTTGTGTGCCCATTATAAATTACGGTATCAAATATTTTTTGGCCAGCAGAGATAGACTTAAATATGACTGAGTCAACCAAACTGTGGCTTCATATTTCATGTGAAATTAAAAATTGTTCTTACTATTTATATGACTTACAAAATATAATTTTTAAAAGAAAATTTACACATAGATACATAAAATCTCAATTTATTTTTTTATTTTTTTTTAAATAGTCTTTGCAATAATCATAGTTCTAACCAATACACTTAATTAATAAAAATATTTTAAGAGAGACAGCACATATTTATTCTAGATAATTAATTTAAACTAATTTTTAACCTCTAAAAATTAATTAACTAACTTTTATATTAAGATAATACTACCTCTGATTCTAATTATAAGACCCAATTGACTAATTTGGAGAGATTAAAGAACTTAGTTAAGTTAGTTATTTGTAATGAATAGATGTTGTTTTTTCTAAAATATCCTTACTAATCAAGTTTGTTATCTAGAATTACTATTATTAGAAGGATTATTTTGAAAAAATTTTATAAATATGAAAGACAAAGTAAATCAGAGTCTTATATTTACTTATTTAAGACTAAAATAAAAATCAGATAAAATCTTGTATTAGCGGAAGAAGTATTAAAGAGGTATATTATTTTCAGATTTTTAACTTGAAGAATTTTGTCAGTCAGAATCAGCGAAGATTGCGCAATGTCGGTGCCTATCTCTAGGCTCCTAGGCTTCCCCGCCTTTTACAACAGCTGCTTCTCCGCCATTAATAACAACCTACAGCTGCAGAGGCGCCCATTTCCGACTCATCTTTCTCAACGAGTGCGCATCTGTTTTCTTACTTCGCTTTTGAATTTTTCCTTCATTGCTCACCTGAGAGAAATTACTTCCATTGTTGAATTCATTTGGTCTGAGATGCATTCATGTGTCTGAAATCGGAATTAAAAGTTTGAATATGTATCTGGAGATTAAATATTTAGATAAGCCTTTCTTCGAAGGATATGGATTATATGGATATATATTTTCGTCCATATTATTGGCAAATATACAGTCTGTGAATTCGTTAATCTCTGATTTTTCTATATTTGTAAGGTGTACACTTTGCTAAATTTTGGAAATTGGTTTTCTGAGTGTTGATCCTCAAAACAGTGACTACTACTTCACGGCTTTTGTCTGTTAGCTCATAGTTTAGACCTTGTAATTAAGAGTGTGATAGTCGGATGCAGGCATTTTCTGTTTGACTCTGATTATTCATGTGCAAGCAACGGCGCTTAGCCGTTGGCCTTGTATCAATATCACCACAATGAGAAAGGTGTGGCAACAGCATAAAAGACACATGGTATAAATTCCCGAGATCTTGTGAGGGCTGAAATTTTCACCACTCAATTTTACCAAATTTCACTGGAGTCCAACCTTTCTTAGAAGTGAAAGAAGAAAAGAAGATCAAGTAGAGTTTGACTCTATTGTGGGAGATAAATCATAAATATTGCTTGTATCCTCAATGAATGAAACTTTCTTTGAAGTTACTTTGCTGCCGTCAAGTTTATGCATAACGAATGATCAACTCATGTGAATGCTGGTTTTAGATAGAAGGGATGCCAAGCTGTTTGAGAGTTAGTGTTGTTGGCCATTAGGCATTTAACCTTTGAGAGTTAGGAATTCTAGAAAGTAAAACATGAATTGATGAACAAATGTTGGATCTTAGAAACCATACAAGATCATAGGAACAGAATGATGGAAATTTATTGAATAAGTTAGCATGAATAATTCACTGTTGCATTAGATTGATGGAGCAACGTGAATGACATGGAACATAATCCTTTTTTTTTTTTTTTTAAAGTTGTCATTGCATACTGAGATTCAATCATCACAATTGCATATGTTGAAATTAAAAAGGAAAAAATGTAACTCTCTGGTGTGGGTTGGACATAAAGCTGTTGACTCATGAGATTGGACTTGGTTTGCTTCAGTAAAACCTTCACCACTTGGTCATTTCAATACTGAAGATTTAAAAAAGCTTCTGCATCAAGACTACTTTTTGCCTCTGAATGCACGCTTCCAAGATATAAGCTACGCCTCACCCCTTCAGTTCTTATAATTCAGGTTGATCTAGTTATTTATGATGTTTCCTGGTAGCAAGAATACCCAAAGTATCTGATACTCAGGGTTCTTCTGATTTTTCATCAATCTTGGAGAAGATATAAGTTTCAATGGGTTTGCCCGGCCTCTAACGAGTCCCTCCCTTCACATGCTGAACCAAGTTTGTATTATGAGCTCTTGCATTAGCAGGGGACGTCGCTGCACTCCAGCCAAAGGCCAACAAGCCTCTGCGTCAGCTATTTTCACAGAGCCTCCCCCTCTTTCTCTATGGCAGAGTAATTGGTAGCATCCAAAATAGAGTGCCAGAGTTTACGATACCTAAGTGAACCATCGTTCACTAAATACTCTAAGTACTCTTTAAAGAGCACAATAAGCTTAATGTCCTTTTGGCTACCAATGTAAGTCAGGTGAGGGTGTTGTCGTGTTGATGGCGAGTCATGGGATCTATTGCTCACTAGAAATTTTGATTACATTATCCAGACGTTGTCCTTTATAGTCATTCCCTTAAGGATCTCTCTGATGGAGTGTAATATTCTCCAAGCGTGCCGGTCTTTGTGGCTGTGGAAACTGTTGTTTGGCTGCCAAGGCCAGCTGCAGAAATTGACTGTTGAATGTTTTGCGTGGGAAGCACGACAAAACCGAGTGAATGGATCTTCTGGCTTCATTACTTACCCAGAATCTTCATCTTGACGTTGCCTTGGTTTTTGACTTTCTGCTTGATCCATTTGTTGGAGTTGTCTTCAATTGATTGTGAGATTTTAGAGGTTTTCGTTTACGGAGCAACTCAATGCCAGAACCTCAGCCTGGGCAGAGGAAAACTTGATCTGAATCATGATTAGCTTCTTTGCAGAGCAGATTATCTGCATTACAGGAATACATCTTTTTCCCCCTCTAAATGAAGAGAGAGAAAGTGATATTTAATTTTTAAATCCAAAAAAGTAAACTTGAATTTTAGTTAGATCTATATATGAACTATGGAGTGTAATTTGGAAAAAGACTTTTAAATTAATCTAATAAATCAGCTAAAGCAATAGAATTTGACTTTCTATATTGTTAGTAAGAGGTTGCAACTATTATTGCGGTAAGGCGAGTTGTCCCCAAATCGCACATGCATCTGATGGAACTAAATGCTATTGATATTGAATTGACACTTGATAATTCATAGTATTTTGCTGTAAATTCATGGACGTGTTTGAATAAGCGAGTCTTCCCCTATGCCTCTATGAGCTGAACTGCAGAATACCCACCCAAGTTTAATACCTCGCCTCTGAGTCAAAGCGACGAGGACTTTGAAGTTTGAACCACATTGACTGTCTTTTCCTGCGGCCAGGGATTCACGAACCTTGCCATCACAATTTTTACTGGCTCAATTTAATTTTTATGTTAAAATTTGAATAAACTAATATATTTTAGGAGAATAAAAGAAGAGTCGTTACATTACTTGGCGCCTTGACTATCAATCAATCAATCAAGTTGATAGAAACTTCGACGGCTTGGGTATTTTTCTTTTCTTTTTTTTGGGGGGGGGGTAATACCTAGTTTAAAAGTTTTACTTGGCATTAGTAAACTAAGTGACACCAGAAAATAACCTCAGATCGAAGATGGGATATTAGAAGCAGCACGATCTAACATACACATGAAAGATTTCCTTCAAAGCCCAAACACGGCTATTTTGAATTTTGATTGTCGTCGTTCCAAGAATATAACGTGGAAATTACTTGATATCTGAAAGTCGTCGACAAGCATACGATGCGAACACGAAAATTGCACGTATCATCCCGAGTCAAACGCCAAATGGAAAATGCGTTCATAAAAGTCTACAAACTAAGCATGGAAGATAATGGTCCAAGACAGTTTGAAAAGGATAAGGACGGGTTGATGGTGTTGGATAGTTAAAGGCTCTTTCGCAACCGGAAAAAAGAAAAAACAGTAAGACATGGAAAGGGAGTGGGAAAATCTACGGGTAGTATATGTCTTTGTTATGCCTGGTAAAGGCAAAGAGCTTTGCTCAATTAAAACAATTTTTTATTTTCTTATCCCCTACATGTTATTAAGATAGACTCATTCAGATCACCCGTATTACTTTTTCCTTGTCATTTTCATTTCAAAGATATTTAAAATCTTTCGAATATCTTGATGTTATATAAGACTTATTGCGCGAAGCTTCCTTTTTTATAATTATTACTTTCACTAAGACATTGGTAAATATTATCCTACATATAAATTCTGACAATGTCACATACGGGTGCTGATAATTATTAGGAGCACAAATATGGATCGTTTTGACTTCAACTGCAAATAAAAGTCCAGAACCATTCATGGGCGTGTTGAAAGGAACAATATTTCTACCCTCCACATATATTATGAATGTCAGGTGAATTATTGATGTTCTCTAGGGGCCTGGATCAGAAATAATATCAGTTAGTTAGAAATCCACCATCATCAAGACATCATCCAATACAAGTCTGAAAAAACTATTATTAATTTAAACTTAGTGGGGATGATCATGAGGAGTTGTGTTGAGTAA